TGCAAAGCAGAAGGCACCAAACAAAGTATTAGCAGTATCTGGATGTAAGTCGCACAAAAAAACAAGAAATTGAAACAGCGAAAAGTTACCCATGTCCAGCAGTGGACGCTACAGGTTGATAATGATGATATCTATGAACAAATATAGAAAAACTTTAATTGATCTTAGTCATTAAAGAATGGGCCAATTCTCCCAGAGATATCAAGAATTTACTGAATGTTCATGCCAATTCAACACAATATTTTTTTAAAATTTTAATATATTATGTAATTATGTAATTTGTATAATTTTATATAATGTACATAATTTTTCGAATAGCAATCATTTTTTTTTCAATACGCGTTCTGAAATTTTCAATTTCTTTTCCGTTTATTGGTATAAGTCATAAAGTCCGACGGCAGAAAAAGTTATTAACATATACAAAACTAAGTAATATATAAAAGATACATATTGACTAATATTACATATTTGGTTGAACCTTTTCCCTGACGCACAGACTGTTTGTCAAACTGCAACACAAAGTTCTTTTTTTTTTTTCGTTAACTTTCAATCAGCCAGAAAAATAGGTAAAACGTAAAGCGACAAATTGTGGTGGAAATAAACAGCAAACATGAATAAATAGTTATCCAACAGTAGTTACCGAGAAAAAATATAAAAAATAATTGTTTTTCATTTTTTAAAATGTCCGTATTCTTTGAACATAACAACATGTACACATTCACACTATAATTTACAATTATGCTCGTTTTTATAAAAATTGTTCCGTAAAAAACTATTAATCCTAAAATTATATGTACACATAATTCTAAAACATTATTCACATTTTACATTAGCGTATATAGTCCAAATTTACAATTTAATTAACAAATCACTGAAGAACGAGGGGAAATTTCAAAAATGGTTTAACACAATATATACAATGGACAATTCCGAACAATAATTTATCTACAAATGAACAGACTGCAATTTGGTAATAAATTAAAAATAATACTTCAAGTACACATGATAAAGATAAAAAATCGTTTGTATGGTCAAAGAAAACAATATTTGTTCAATACATGGTTAACAAACGGCGGTTGTAAAGAAAAAATGCACACTTTATTACGGCAACAATACTTGGAAATATGAAATTTGAAATTCCGTGTGATAAAAAAATTATCCCATTCTTCTGGGGAAACTGATCAGCTTCACTAGGATAGATAAAGTCTTCATCAATTTTATAAATATAATTGAAAGGAACGGATATAGAAAAATGTAAGACTGTAGGTGTAGAAGTTTGAATATATTAGTCCAGTATTGTGGCAAACAGAGACTGACGTTATAAAAAGATTAATTAATTAAAATATTTAGAAAAAAACATATTGAGACACAATGTAGAAACAAAATCATTGAATACTGTAATGAAATAGACTATTTTTGAGTTATTACCTTATTGCACGTACATTGATCATAATTTTTACCAAATAATCAAACAATTACATTGAACTAGTACACAAGTTTTAAATTCCGCCTCTTTCCACAGTTGAATCTCCCTATAACTCGGGCGAAACCAACATTCTTATATTTTGAGTTATCGTTTACTTTAGAAGCTTCGACAGGTGAAACAGGCGACCGTTTAACCCAACTGTCTAAAGTCTGATTGTTCGAAATTTTACCACACTTTTGAAGTTTCTTCTCGGTTCAGGAGACTGAAATTGGCATTTTCTATTAGACGTTACTAAATTAGACATTCTGATCGTTTCGGTATGACCGTTATCGACGTGAGGAACTTTGTTGTTGAGTCTATTTTCTATATCTGCTACATTTGGAATTGTATCCGATTCATCTGACTTTTCATCTTTCCTGTTGTGGGACTGTGCCTCTTCATCTTTTATAGTTTGTGATAGTACTTCATTTTTTCTATTATGGGACGGTAGTTCTTCATATTTTCGATGTTCAGATGGTACCTCTTCATCTTTCCTACGTTCAGGTACCTCTTTGTCTGTCCTATCATGGGAAGATAATTGTTCATCTTTCCTGTCGTGGGTTGACATATTTTCATCTTCTTTATTGTAAGATGGCACCTCTTATCTTTTATATCCTGGGATGATAAATCTTGGTCTCCATTATTGTGGGATAGAATTTCTTCACTTGCCTTTTGTGAAATTTTGGAATTTTCTGAATTTTTTATATATTCATCGATATCACTTGTGTCATTTGCAACTTCATCTACCGATTCGTTGGAATGATCTAATGTTTTCTCTTCAATGTCTTCTTCATGTTCATGTTCTTTCCCTTCGCTATTTTGTTTATTTATAGATTTATCCTTACTTATTTCATTTACTAATTCATCAACTGAATCAGTAGAATTTTCTAAGGTTTTCTCTTCTACTTCTTCGTCATGATTTTGCTTCCTTTTTAATATCCCCTCATCATTTCTGATTTTTTGATGTTTTCCTCATTATCCTTTTCATTCTTTTTTATGCCTTCTTCATGGTCTGTATCATCTTCCTTGATATCTTTTCTCTTTTCTCCTTTCTCTTTAATGTCTTCATCATTACTTTCTTCTTTTTTGATATCATTTTCTTTCTCATTGATGTGTTCGTCATTATCATTTATTTTTTCCTCAATGTCTTCCATATCAAGATTTTCGGTTACTTCCATTTTTTCTTCATCATTATTTTCTTTAGATAAATGCTCTAAATCTGAAACATTATTGTCATCACTCAGTTTTTCATCTTTCTGCTCTACCTGGTCTATCTGAATATCTTCTTCGAGGAGCATTTTTTCATCTACGTCTTCATTTTTGTTTGTAAACGAAATCTTCGTCGTATTTATCATCGAGTATAGATTCGTCTAATTCTTCATTTTCATGTGTACTACTTTCTTTATTACTTTCGTTATTGTCGATTTCAGTACAGCCAGCTAATTTTACTTGTTCAGATGAGGTAACTTCTGTATTGTCAAGGGAATCATTCCGTTCATCGAAATTGTTACTTTCATGTTGACTAGACTCACAATCTTTGGTCTGATTCTGGTTCGAGCTGGTGGAAGTCTCATCAATTGTTGTGCTAAACCGAAATCTCGATTTCTTCGTTCAAGTTGACTTTAAAACGTTTATCATTCAGTATATTATTAAAATTACTTTACAAGTTTTCGCTTTGGATGCTACCTTGGTAGGTTTCGTAGTAGATTTTTCGCCTGACTGGTTACTGTTTTCTTCTTCTGACGTTTCTAAAACTGCTGGGGTATTTCCGCCTTAATCGCTTTCTGCCGTCCTTATCTATATCGTTGTCGTTTTCAGGACATAGATCTAACCCTTTTATTTTTTCTGTGGTTCTCACCGGATTTTTCATAGGTTTTCTCCAGGCAAAATCGGGCTGACATCGAGTGTCCAAAGATTAATAGCTACTGTCCCCCTAGACCTAGTTCTAGGTGAATTTGGATCAACGTGGTTTAAAGTAGTTTTAGATTCTGTTGAAGAATTTGATTCACTATCAGAAATACTATCCGTATCCCCTCGTTATTTTGAGTTCTTCTTGTGATTCACACACTTCCGATTCTTCGACCTCTGCATCTTTGCTTTTTTGTGACAGCCTACGCGTCCTAATCTTCCTTCAACTTTTTCTCAACGTCTTCGTCGCCATCTTTTTTGAGCCTAACCCTTTTATTACTTAAAATTCTATTATACCTATTGATTTTTTTGTTTTTTGAGCTAACCTGGTTGGTGGCGTCGTCTCTTGAATATGTGATGATATCACCTTCTTCTTCTAACTCTCGGGCACGACGTTCCTCTTCTTCTCGCATCGCCGCCAGACGGTTCTGCTCCCATTCCTTTTTCTGTTCTTCAATTTCCCTTGTCGCAGCCGCAAGCTGTTCTGCAGACCAAGCAGATTCTGTTGCCTCAATGAAATTCATGGCATATTTTTTCATAGGTGTTAACTACAAAAATAAATATTTTATTTTGTTAATAAGATAAAGAAAGTATGAAGTATACAATTTTTAAATAACTAATGTATGGGACATACCAAACGCCAACATTTGAACCATGTTCGAAAGAAAAACACAATTTAAAGTAAAGGCAGAATTTTATTACGAAAATTGTATAGTTTATGCAAGTTCTGAAGTGAGGTATTAGCTCTTTTGATTACTGTATTTCAAGAGACTCATTATTACTGATAAGATAATTATCTTTTAAATATCCATTACTTGATGGAAATTTGTAATTTTATGGATTAATCAGAATCTTGTAAACAAGCCCAAAATGTCCATATTGGACCAATTAAATATATTTACGATCAGATATATGCAAAGGAAATCGCTAAACATATATATAAAAAAGATCTTTTCAATTTGTTTGAAATCATATTTGATGCCTACTAGTGAGTGGACAGTTTATAAACTAGTTATTTTATAAACAGTAAAATTATTTTGTGGTTAATGCCCCAATATGCCATGTTGTTAAAATCTAGTTATTCATTGGTTATACATATAAAAATTTCGTCCCATTAGTATTACAAGCATTACCAGAAAAATAAGTTTTTCTAGTTAGATGTTGCAAGGTTCTAGATAGTTTTCAATAAAGTAAATCGAAAACATGCTGGCCACTGCGTTTTTTATAGCACAGATGCAAAAGTTAGACAGCTATAGAACTGTTAACTGATCGTCTATGCATTATAAACAAGTTTATACAATTTTAGAAAGTTTCAGCATTAATGTTAACAAACGGTTTAAAGACAAAAAATTATTTTGACATGAGAGAGCACCCAGTCTCCACGTCGCCGTCGGTTACAGCACCGGTCTCTATATTCGCACATCCTAACGAAAATTTCTCAAGGGAAACGATTAGACGTTTTCAGCTTGTAAAAGGAATTACAGAAAAATAATAAGACTAACAATACTCTTACAGAAAAAAAAAACTAAATTAACGACCTCGAAAGCAATTAAGCATCAAAACAACAAAGCTTGGATCTAATTACACAAAACAATGGTGATAACAATACTGAGGTCCCTTGCGACGCTGCCAGAGTTAAAAAAATCATAGAACTTATGATCATTCCTTGCATCTTTAGGCTATGTGTGAGGCACTCCTTATTCTATTTCAGCTTAAATTTGATTCTGTCATTGTGACTGGAGCTTGATGAACAAGTGTGAAATCATGTTCTAGAAATGCACAAACTTATATCCAAGATTTGATTTGATTAACCAGCAGTTTACACTTTTTTAAAACATATGGAAATAGGAAGTTTACTGGTGATCATCATACACTTTAGTAACCTGATAAAAATCAAGTGTGGACCGACATGTGATTAAATACTTTTCAAAGACAATTTGGACATTTTCTGCATTGTTTTATAAGCATAAAATTATTTTCAATGTCGAATTGAATTTTTTCTACGTTCTACTATACACATAAATTCTAGAAAATCGCAAATAACCTATTAATATGTGAATATGTCGATCGAATCATCACTAACGTCAATGTGTCACGTAACACAAACTCTTTTAAAACCATCTTCAGAATAAAAAAATGAAAGAATCTCAAACTAATTCACACACTATTTTACACAATCTGTAGTAAAGATTGTGCATACACACGCTAAGGAAGCGTTAGAAAACACGAATACAACATCGACATAAACGGTCTATTGATTTCAAACAAGCCTTTAACACTATAAAATTAGTCAGATTGGTACAGCTTACCTCACTGACACCAAAGCAGCTGTAGTAATATGAAGACTCAACAACTTTGAGATCAATATCGGTGTAAGACAATGAGACACCCTCTCAGCGCTATTGTTTAACCTCTTGCTCCATAGAGTAATATCCAAAGTGACTAATAATCAAAAATACTAACTTCTCAACAAATATACACACAAAATACTGCATAATGCGGACCTTCTACACCCAATAGCAAACAATAGTAAGAGATGACGTCATATACTTAGATCGAGACATTAATGAAGACTTTCGAAGAAAATCTTAAAAAAACGACGCGAGACGCAGGATTGATGATAAATCAGAATAAAACCAAATATGTTTATGTCAATGGCAAGACAAAACAATAGAAACGTCTCCACAGCATTGAAAAGGTGATGTAAGTGCAGAAATAAAAAGAAGAATAAGAAAAGGAAACTAAGAATCTTCGAATTCTGCCTCAGTATTTTTAGAAGTTAGTTGTTGTTTTATTTGCTTAATATACCCTAACTTCTAAAATACTGAGGCAGAATTCGAAAATGCAATTGTGCAAAACACTAGTAAGTCCCATTGTGACCTTTGGTTGTGAAACATAGACCCTGCTGAAAAAAGGCGAAACTGCCCTAAAAAGTTTTAAAAGGAAAGTGTTTAGGAAATTTCCAGACAGTTGGCTTGGTCACCTGTTCGGAATGGACAATGAAAGAAAAATACAAAAAATATCAGCGAATGGAGGCCGCCTTAGATAGCGTTGGTTCCATGATTATGGGAGTTTGGAATTGGGAAAGAGTCGCCAATGGCAGAAGGGGATGGAATATAATTGTTGAACAGGACAGTACCCACAGGGATAGAGAAAGAAGAATGCACAGTCGATTCGCAGAAAATTTATAGATGTGAAAAGATAAAATGTAAAAATCTTAAAAATACTATGCACAAAAAGAGTGTAGCAGAGTTTTTGTATCGACATAATGTAACATTTAAAAATTTCTAGTTTTCTTTAGGAAAAAATAATGCAATTTTTATAAAATTAATACAAACAATTGAGTTGCTTACCTTTTCTATGATATTATTAATTTCCTGTTCCGCCTTGCTGATTTCAGGTTCTTTTTCTTGATCATCCAGGGGAATGTTTTCATCAAACTCAGCAAGATCTGCAACGGCTTCCGCTTTGGCCGTTTTTGCGGCTTGAACGTCTTGGTCGTCCTCGCATGCCGCCAAAGCGTTTTCGAGAGCACCAACGGTAGCTTTATCGTCAACAGAATGAAGCAGGTCTGTACTGAGGGCTTTTTCTCTTTCTTTTTTTAGTTCAACAATTTCTGACATTCGTGCAGATGCATTTTCTTCGTTTTGGTCTATGTTGAATAAGTCCTGAATCGTCGACTGAAACAAAATTAAAGTTTAACAAATACTTATCACAAAAAATCACAAACTACTTATTGAACATTCAAAGAAAATGTGTAGATAGGAAGGAAACAGTTTTAAGAGTCCAAAATTGAAAAAGCTTGAGCTCAATTCTCGTTACAGCAAACATAGATAGACAATTCAAATTATAAGAAAAAAAAAAGGTGAATCATCTTACAGGACAGCAGCAAAACAATTTAAAAAATGTTATGAGTAAGCAGTACATTAAACTAGCGTAAAGCATTATATCTATGTTTTCTCTATTTTTAAAATGCAATAAAGTTTTGAAAATCATTGTGAATTGAATCTTTTATTGACAGATATTCTTTTAATTTTTTACTTCTCATTTAATATCTACATTGTATTAATTATTAATTAATTCATTATAATTATCTTTCATGTATTTTTTAATTTAAACCTGCTTATAATAAATATTATATAACTAAAGACGAACTGATTGAGAATAGTGAATCGATGTGAAGAGAACGCTATTTTGTGACGCGACTCGTAACGCCTTCTCTTGGCGCTATTTCCGTGACGCTCGCCTCAGCATTTTACTATAGAGAAAAATAATACAATGCCAGTATAGCATAGTATAAAATGCTTCTCAAACATCCATAGACGTAGATATACGTAATTTTTTTATTTATTTGTTGCAAGGTTCTAGATAGTTTTCAATAAGGTAAATTGAAAACATGCTGGCCACTGCTATTATTTAGCATAGTTGCAAAAGTTAAACAGTCATAATAAACTGTCAACTGATCGTCTATGCATTATAAATAAGATATTAAGCAATTTTTATAAACATGAGTTTGATCAGCGATGCGAGGCTTGCTATGCGATGATATCAAACACTTGTATCTTAAGAGCTTTGTTCAAATAGTAAGGTATTTAGTGCGATGCGATGCTAGTACTAGTATGCGCTTCAGTTTGGTTTTCAAGAATGTTTGATTCCATTGCCAGTGGTGACATATATCTATTTTTCTATTTAAACACTTTTTGAAAATATTTAATACTTTAACAATTAATTTTTCGCAAATATATATTTCAGTTGTCTTTCCATCGTCACGTCCGATGTGGCGACTAGCTCACAAGCATATCATTGTATTGAAACACCCACAGATAATAGCTTGCTATGTAACAAAGCATAGTAAAACATCGCATCGTTGATAGCGCTATAGCGCTTTGTGTGAACGTACACTTAATCTATCAATAGATGGCGTTACTTAAGAACAAATTGCTGTCGGTTTTTACATATGTCATCTATCTGACGTGTCAAAACTTCAAACAAAAAACAACAGTTATATTGGTTTTAATAGTCATCGAAATAAAATGACTTGACTAAACAAAATAACTAAAAAACTTATTTTGTCTTGTATTCTGTTACCATAGAAATATTCTATTTTCACTGAAATGAGTTTGCAAGGGGTCACAAGTGGTCATTAGTAAGATCAGTTAAATGTTTACAACAAGCAAGTATTTTCGTCTATTCACTTTTCTTATGAAATATAGAGGTTAATGTTATATATTAATGATATGTAGCAAAGATACCGAGAGGGAACATTAACAACATAAACGTGGCAATAATTCGTGTTTCTGATAGACTTTTGACCATGATGAATGATAAATTCTTATAAATTTAAGTATTTCGACAAATAATTAAATGTATACTAAGTATTCGTTGAAGTTAATTCAAAACTTTCACTTGAAATATACAAACAATATAAGAAATCAAAGCCGAACTGGATGCTGTTTATGCAAAAATCAATGAACATTTTCAAGATAGATACTATTTGAATGAAATAATCGAAAAGAGGCGTACCAATAACTGGCGTAGACCGTGCAGTTCTATTAAAATAGATTTAAAATATATAAATTGCTTTAACGCTGACTTGAGGAAGAAGAAACGCACTGGTTTGATCGAAAAAAATATTCATGAACTTTATTCCTCTGATGTGTCCTCTCGTGTGACTATTTGATCGTAAAAAATTATTATCCAAAAAAAAACAAAAACAAACAAACAAAATTGAACAAAAGTGAGATAGAGAAAATTAATTGTGTAGAAAATATTGGACTAAATTGTATAAAAAATATGTCAAATAATGATTTATAGAAGAGTTCTTTGTATATACTTACACTCTTGAAGTACGCCGTTGTGAAATTACCACCTTCGATAGCCAGATCTCCAAGCAACCGTTTCTGATTGGCTTTCTTCAATATATTCTCTTCTATGGTTCGCTCACTAACCAGCCTGTAAATATGTACGTCTCTCGTTTGACCGATTCGGTGACAACGATCTTGCGCTTGCGCGTCCATAGTTGGATTCCAATCGGAATCATAAAATATCACAGTATCCGCTCCGGTTAAATTTACACCCACGCCCCCGGAACGCGTGGACAAAATAAAAGCGAAAATACGTTTATCACCGTTGAACCTCTCCATCAACACCTAAAAAAATATTATGTATTAGAAGATTCATAGCGATCATATATATGTTTACTGCCCTACTTCTTTAATAGCATTTTAAAGTTATCTGGTATTTGGCAGCGAACTTGTTAATGTATTATGCAATAAATTTTTAACTACAGTACACTTCCTTTACGGAAAATATGGATCAGTACGTTCATAACGCAGATCAAACTCACATTTTTACATACATTTAAAATTAGGAGAATACATTGATAATAGGTTGCCAGTCAAAAAGTGTACACAAATATTTTTAATTAGTTTTTGACACAATTTTTATTTCGTTCTTTATTTTTTTTATCGTTTTCTTTATCGTATATGTATAGAATTTTTCATATAAAAATGCTTGTATGTCACAATTTATATAAAGTGACGTCACTTATATTTAAAATTTCCTTTCCTAACACAGCTAATAATAGGAAACCCATACGGAACAGCTCGATCTTTAATAGACGTCAACATGGCATAATAATCAGAAAAATATATTCATCATTATATTGGAAATTTTAAAATTATATTGATTAAATAACCAAAAACATTTGTTATTATTAGTAATATAAATTTTATGAAATAAAAATTTAGTCTAATATTCCACAAACTAATAATTTTAATTAAATAGATTAGACAATTGTACGCAACTGATACGGGAATACTTCAAATTTTATCCACAGTTCAGCATGTGGTGAAAGTGTATAAAGTGCTGCCGCTTTTTTAGAGTAAGAATTTTGTTTATGTTGTGATTTCTTACACAATTTGATCATAATACAATATATATTAATAAGTTGTATTTATAAATACATATTAAATTTAGATTAATAGCTTTAAAACTAATTGTGGGTATTGGGTAATTGTTGGGCATTGTGATTGTACCGCCAAAAGAAAAACAGTCTGTAGAAAGCTGTGAAGCTTTCATATAAGATAAATTATTTTGAACAAGAAATAATGGCGGACGTTTTTCCTATTAAAGCCCTAAAAGAGGTGAGTTTAAAATTTAGAATATTTATAATTTTGTATTAAAATGTTTTCTTATGTATTTTAGTGTGTTTCAGTAGTCTTAAAACTAAGTGTATTTACTGTTAATATAATAGTTTAACAAATAGTTGACATTTTAAAAATTCCTCACTAATAACTATTCTGAGTTTTGGCAACGCTGTGGTGTTGTGGCGTCGTAAATTTTGAATGACGTGCAATCATTTTTATATGAAAGATGCTATATGTTTTTTTATATCAAATTAAAGCTAATTTTTTTCGTAATAATATATTTTAATTTATCTTTAATACTTTGCGTTTTTAACAACAGAACTGGCAACCCTATTTTGCGACAATTTTTTCTCAGACTTTACATCATCATAAGAAAAAAATTAGTTTTAATTTGAAATTTGCTTTAATAAAAAACATATATATATATATATATGTCATGAGTAGCTCATTTTATTTAAAAAATAAACGAAAAAAAATTTTTATCAAATATTACTATTAATCGAATTAAAATATTTGTGGCCACTTTTTGGCTGGATACCTATTGTCAATGTATACTTATTTTAAATGTATGTACAAATGGAAGAGACAACTACGTTATGAACGTAGTGATCCTACAGTGGGATGTTAGGCATTGAATGTGTGAGATTTGAAAATCATAAATGACGTACAGAGTAGAGTCCTTAGGGAGTGAGTTATTTTAGGTTGGTTTTAAATAATTCGTATCATTATCCATGTCATGTATTTTTAATTAATAAAATTGTAAGAGTATTTGGACTTAGTAGATTACATAGAAAACTAAACGTTAATCTATCGGGACAAAACAGAACTCGTGCGATTGGATAGGATACCAAACCAGTCAAATTGTTGATGGATTCGACCGTTACTTGATGGAAATTCATTTTATCTAACAATAAAACACTGAAAACTTTGTTTTCAAACTTCCACAAAACATTTTATTTTAACTCTTTTCACTACAGCTGTTTCGGCTGATTGCCTTTCTCAAGTGATCTATTTTTGGCATGCGTTTACACTTTATAGTCTCTAATGAAATAGGTTGAGAGGGGAGAACTGTTTGTCTCGAGTTGGTCATTCAGAATTATATCTGTTCTCCCCTCCTCTATCTATTTCATTAGAGACTATAAAGTGTAAACGCATGCCAAAAATAGATCACTTGAGAAAGGCAATCAGCCGAAACCGCTGTAGTGATAAGAGTTAAAATAAAATTTTTGTGGAAGTTTGAAAGCAAAGTTTTCAGTGTTTTATTGTCAGTCAAATTGCATTTTTAAGTTAAAATTTGTACTCTCCTTTTAATTTATTCTTGAAATAGGAAGATTGTGAAATAGGGTGCATCGAAACAGGCGAAAAAAAATTTTTTTTTTTGCAATATAAAAGTAATACTTTACAAAAGTTGCCCAATCAACTGGTAAGTAATTTGGTAAAATCTGGTCGAAATTGAAAAATATCTTCTGCCCCCCCAAGACAAATAAAAATTTGAAAAAATATTAACAGACAAAATAATTTTTATTTTGAGACGTAAATGGAATACCTCACAAAAGTTGCCTAAATAACACACTATTTAATATTTAGTAAATTGCGTTGAACTAAAAATATATTTTCTGCCCCCTCGGCATTTCAAAATTAGAAAAAATACATTAACAGGCGCATTTTTCTTTGTAACGAAAGGTAATACCTTATAAAAGTTAAATTAATAAATTCGGTTTAAAATATGTCTGTTCTACAAATCAATTAAAAATTTAAGTTAAGAAAAATATTCTCCAACATTTTTTTATAACATAATAGCCCAACTTTTCTTCTGTCTCTGTGATGTTACCAACGTTTTTTTAATACTGAAATAAAAATAAAAAAACTATAAATTTAAAGTGGTTTATTATAAGTATTACAAAAATATGGTAAAACAATTCTATTTAAAGATGTATTCTGATTTAGTGTTAAAGTGAGCGCATAGTTTTTCTGGAATCAACTCGCGTTTTTATAAATCCATCCCTTGAGTCCGCTCCACAAACTGCTTGAGAAGCTTCTGTCACAAGCTTGACACATCGTTCTACACATTGTGTGTGGCAGTGATATTTCTCAATATTAAAAGGGTCTAAGTCCGGATTCTTAATAAAATCTTGCAGATCGTCATTCGAAACTCTAGAGAAGATAGGTGGTTCCGTAAGGTTACACTCTTGCCAATTAATTAACTCAAAGTAGTCGTTTGCATCAAAATTTATAGGAGAAATTTTGAAGACTCTCACGTTTTTTGATTTTGTCGCTGGAAACTTCTTGCTTTTAAGATGCGGCGTAATCCAAGTTCCCGAATATGGAGTCGTTCATCCGATATCATGCTTTAAAAGTATATTTTCACAATGACCGAAATATGCAGCTCGTTGAATTACAACGTCGACTACAGCCCTTAATTCGCTATTTAAGTACCGAGATAATTGAATGGTTTTAAAAAGATGTTTTGCACCATTTTACATGTCGGTTGGGATTTTATACTGAACCACATTGGAGCGTATACCTTCATAATATATTCTGTGAGTGAGATTAAGTTCACCGGTGGCACGATACTCGATACATAGAGCCGAAGAATGCGATTGGCAGTTGTTACCCACCTTGAATGTGCCAGGGGTCCGGGTTTTCGATCTGTAAACACTGGTAGTACACTGGCCACTGGATACTACGTGGTACATTTCATACAAATACTTTTGATCTGTACTAAGCTCCTTCAAAATACTTTCGGGAATCGTGGGTAAATTACCTTTAATTGGTTTGAACGCAACGATTGGCAGTTGGTCGCATTGTAATAACTGCTTACCAATAGGACCTGAAAATCCTCTAGGTCCAGAAGTATCTCCATCAAGATGGTGAAAAAAGATGGTGAAAAAGATGTCGAAGGGGTAGTTCATTTGCATGTAGCAGACATACAAACCACTGAAGCGGTTTTGAAGATGTTCTTCTAACAGCCGTATTACACCCCCCTTAACGCCAGTATTTACGACTGTGCCGTCACAACCAATAGCTTCAATTTCTTGTAACGCGATTGAATTTTCTATTAGGAATTGAATAATGGAAGATTTGATATTTTCGGATGTACCGGACAGCGGAGAAACATGTCGCAAATAATTGCATCCTGGCTCCTGCAAAGTGTTATGTGTTCTTCCATGATCGTTTGACGATAAACCTTTGCACCTTTTCTTACTTGAGCTAAAGTTTTGTCTTTGCGTCCATCAAAGTAAAGCCCACGTAGGTTAATCGTCGAATGTTCTTGTAGTCTCTGAATATTGGAACGACATTTAACCTTTCTCTTCTAACTTTATTTTTGTCGATAACGTTAGAAGAGTCCGCTGATGTAATTATTCCTATATCGGTTAAAACGGCGGATGCAAGAGCAGCTGCAGATCTATCAGATATGCCGTGTCTGTCACATGTTTTTGCAAAATTTTTCAACTGAATTCTCATTTGATTTTTGTTGACACCTTTAGAGGTTGAAGGTACAGAAACATCATCTTGAAACGTAACATCATCATTATCATTAATAAAATTATTTGATTCTGAACTAGAAGAAGAATCGCATTCAGGTATTGGATTAATATCACTCTCAATAACTACGGTATCTTTCGTCTTTTGTCGTTGTTCTCTCTGAATATATTTTCTTGTTCTCTCTCTATCAACTGTGCTTATCACCATTTTTCTCGGACCTCTTTGATCTAATAAAAACTCTCGTTCGCTGAGAGGCACTTTTGAGACTTGCTACAAAGGCAATTCAGTAGAGTATTACATTTGCATGCTGCAAGATCGAAAATAGTTTTACTTTTCTCCTGAAAGCATAGAATTTTATTTTGGTAAGACTTACTGTTTTTCCTGCTCTTAAATGGCTTCATAAGCTTGGTGTATTTGTCGTGGTAGGATTTTAGCAGCTGAATTATTCTTGTACGTGAAACTATTGGAATTGTAGCCTTTCTCCATATTTCCTCCAATTTCATGGCAACCTCCTCGGCAATAACGGAAAACGCTGGCTCTTTCTTGGTAAGTTTTTTGTTCAGCCTCTTCCAAGCACAAAATTTCATCACTTGTTTAAACGTCGGTAACACATTTTCAGGAATATTTGATGGTTGTCCAAAAACGGCGCAGTTCACAGCACATCTTGTTTTTATCCCGATGTTCCTGGCTTATCCATTTTAAAAAATCTTTAGTCTAAAAACATCAATAACAGCAAAGTAATGCACCGCACCAAACAAGCGAAAATTACACTCACGGACTGTGTGACACAGATGCTAGACACTTACTGATAAGGGAATCAGACACTCGGGTAGTCTTGGACCCCGTTTTAAGGAATTTTAACGATTATTACTCGAATGATTTTTTTTTTGTTTTGTATTTTGACAAAATAGAAACTGAAACATCACAAGCAAGAAATACGTAGAGGAGTACGACAAGGTTGTATTTTGTCACCTCTGTTATTTAATGTATATAGTGAAAGCATCTGTCAGGAAGCCCTTTTACAAGCAAACGGAGGAATCGTAATTAATGGAGAGATTGTAAATAATATTCGATACGCGGACGACACTGTACTAGTTGCAAGAACAGTAGAAGAATTACAAAGATTACTTACAGACATAAATATTGCTTGCAACAATTATGGTATAAATATCAATATTAAAAAAACCAAGTATATGGTCTTCAGTAAAAACATGACACAACCAGCGTATATTAGTATAAACGGCACTCAAGTTGAAAAAGTATCAAGTTACAAATACTTGGGAACTTTAATAAACGAAACTGGAGACCAAAACAGTGAAATAAAAAGACGTATCGAAATTGCTAGGGCCACTTCATAAAGATGAGAAAATTCTTCTGTAACAGAAATATAAGCATCCCTCTACGATTAAGAATGCTGAGAGGCTATGTATTTAACACGCTATTATACGGTGTAGAGGCCTGGACTCTCAAACAGAACAACATGAAAAATATTGAAAGTTTCGAGATGTGGTGCTACCGTCGAATGCTGAAGATTAGTTGGGTTGAAAGAATAACAAACTGTGAAGTAATACGAAGAATAGGAAAAGACCCAGAGATTTTGTTAACGCTAAAGCGCAGAAAAACTCGAATATTTTGGTCACCTGATAGAGGACATAAATACGCATTACTTCAAAATATAATGCAGGGAAAAATAGAAGGAAAACGGAATCCAGGCCGTAGAAGAATGTCATGGTTGCGGAATTTGAGAGAGTGGTATGGCTGCACCACTAATGAACTCTTTAGGTCAGCCGTAAACAAGGTCAGAATAGCCTTGATGATTTCCAATCTCCGATAGGAGCGGCACAAAAAGAAGAAGAAGACTCGAATGATTTTAGCCAAGCGTCAATGACATTGAACCGTTGCATCTCGGTGTATCTCGGACCAATGATATTAGAATATCTATACGATACGCGAGGTTGCCGATTTTGTTTCATTGGTAGTACATATTATGAATTTTCGAATAGCAGATATTAGTAGAAATAGACGTTTTGCGGTAATTTTCAATGGGGTTGAGTACACTTAATAAACAAATGAAATTTTAAATATCGTTTAAATGTGTAATTTACAACATTTTAAGTTTTATTTAATTGATATTAGATCGAGTAAGCACATATTTTAATCCAAATATAAAAAATTCAAATTTTCATAAAAGGCAGATATTTAATAAAGTTTAAGGTCGTTGGGGGGCAGAAAATTAATTTAGAAAAAAAAAATAAAAATACTAATATGCTAAAAAATAACACTAGCAACTTTTTCACACTATTAAATACAACATTCCAACTTTTATTTTTTCGATGCACCCTATTGTGAAATTCATTAATTGATTTGTTATAATTGTTGCCGATAGTTGTGAATTTATTTACAAAATTTTGATAGTTTTGTCTAAGTATTGCGTCTGATGCTAAATGGTATTTTTGTATTTATTGGTATTGCACTTTTGTTAAAAAATGTTAATGTTTTATTTATTCACTAAATAATAATGGGATAAATCGCTTTTTGATACAAGGGATTCATCCACGCCATATTCTTCAGATATGACCACCAGCGTCTTTTAGACCTCAAACGAATCCTCTATGGAATAAAATGATCAAATGGAGAGGTTTTTACCTCTCCATTTGAAACACTTAGAAACACATTAGAAACGGTGTAGTAGTAGAAAGTTTGCCCCAAAATGAGACGATAATGACGAATGTGTTAAATTTACGTCTAGGAACCAACGAGTGAATCGTTAAATTAGATCGAAAAAGTAGGAAATGAAAAATGTTAAATGAGTAATGATTTTACTTGAATAAAACGTTATCAAAATATACTAAATTGAAGTAAAATCCGGTAGAGTATATAGGAATCCTGCCTTTAATAGCAATTCTAGATAGATACATCCTACTTTTTATGTATAATTGAAATTGTTTTAAGTAAATGTAGCTAGATAATACTTACTTGTCTTTGATCAACTTTTGTGGTACCATCTAACCGAAGATAGATATGACCATGGTAATTCAAAAATGCCTCTAGTACATCCAACATTTTCGTCATTTGCGTGAAGATCAATACTCGATGACCTTCCAATTTTAATTTCCTTAATAGTATATCCAAAGTTTGTAACTTTCCACAGTCATATTGAATAAGTCTAGGATCTGGAAACTGGGTTACCATTGCAGATGCTATACTATGAAGAGGTGTTGCAGGTTTTAGGAATAGTTTCTGGAAAGAAAATAGTTCAGTGATCAAACTTGCATAAAATTGCCAGAATTTAAAACTATAAAATGAAACCGGATGGGAAAAAAGTTCCACCTATTTATGATGTCACAATTATTTCAAATCAATGTCACAAATTCATAACATCTCTCATTTGTGAGAATATATCTTTGTAACATTTTAAATTTTAATTGTTTTATTTTCCTTCAGCATGCCGCCGTGCAATTTCTAAATGGCCTCTGATAACTTATAACAGCATAACATATTTCCATATATTGATATAATGGTTGAATGCTCGAATAAATGAACTTTGATCAAATAACAGGCAAATATCGAGCACAGTTTAACTAATTTAATCTTGCCCAAGTACTTTCGCTCCCTAGAGCATCTTCAGGGGCATTTCGTCAATAAGGGCCTATCCGACAAGAATAAAAGGTTATATAAACATAAAATGGTACATCACAATACACTACACAAGGACAAACACATTAAAATTTTTAAAATAGGCGAAGCTACATTGCGTACGGAAGCCGGAGACAGAATTATTCGCAACGTAACTTCGCCTATTTTAAAATTTTAATGTGTTTGTCCTTGTGTAGTGTGATGTACCATTTTATGTTTATAACATTTTATTATTGTCGGATAGGCCACAATTGACGAAATGCCCCTGAAGATGCTCTAGGGAGCGAAAGTACTTGGGCAAGATTAAATTAATTAAACTGTGCTCGATATTTGCCTTTTATTTGATCAAAGTATATTTCCATACGACTATTGAAGCATTGCATCAACTCAAACCACAGGAGGTGTAAAAACAAAAGCGTCCAATTAGACACACCTACTGTTTCTAATAAATTTTAAAACCCTTGGTTAAAGTAATACATTTTGATGGAATTAGAGAAAGTGTCATATGTTGAGCTGGTAACTTAAGGAAAAATCACCATTTCTAGACTGTTTTAGTGATAGGACATTTTTAATTTACGTGATTTGTTTGATTTTGATCCAAGTGCACTAATCATAGTATAGTTATTTCTATTTAAAAATATATAGTTAAAATAATAAATCAATCGCTAAGATAAATTCAGATTTATTCCTAGTAATACTAATACAGTTTAATAGTACTACAGGGTAGTCAGTGAATTTTCAAGAGGCAGGCGACCAACCACTGTAAGTTACTTATACATTTGAAAAGCTTGAGAATTGCTGGAACTTCGGCAAATTCAAGAACATATCTTTGTCACCTGTTTAAATGCTATTAATTACCATAGTAATTAAGGAATAAGGTTACTAGAAATAAGAATTTCAGTTTACTGGAGTCATATCATCTTTGTTTATTTACTGATCAACTAAGATACTGTTTAAGTTTGCATGAAATTGTATGTAGAATTATAAAAGTATGTTCTTCTGTTTTACTTTTACATGTATTTCAAACATTTGTTAAAATAAATTGATTTTCTTTAAACTGAGGTATTTATTTATTCTACTACCAACAAGTCCCCTGATTAAAAATTAAATTTCTACAATTTGATAGTAATATTTTGACCAGGAAGAAAGATCAATATCTGTAAGTCTTAACAAGTGTGTGGAATAGTTCCACCAAACGTATTTATTTATTTATAGAATGCGAGGGCAATATTTAATCAACAATTATAACTTCCACACCTTTTACATTTTTGGCTTAAGTTGTTGTTAAAGATCTAAGGTTTCTTAACTTCCTCCTTTTATTTACAAATCATTATATTAATTATTATATCAATTGGTGACCTTTCTAACTACATCAACATAAAAAAGGTTACACATTAGTACGAGTATATCTTTATATTATTGAAAAATCCAAGGATAAATTTAGTTAATGCAATATTTGACCTATGTTTCAAAATTTTAAGTCCCTTAGCTTATCATGAAGTTGTTTTAAATTGATTAAAAATTGTCTTTCTAACAGACTAACAACAAAGTATAGTTGGAATTAAAAAAAAAATACAAAATATATGAATACCAACATCCCTGACGATATTTACAAAGATCTGTACGAATTGATATGAATATCTATAAATTTTATGTGAAAATTGAAAAACTTCCTATTTACCTGTATAAGTTGTTTATCGTGTTTTTGGCCCCAATATTTACTTGGCGGAGGATGCCACACTTGCAGTTCGGGTTCCGCTACTTTCACGGAAGGTACATAGAATATAAATCGATCAAAAGTATCTTTTAGACCTTCCAATCTTCTCTCAGGATTAAACAACGCGTCTTTGAGACAATCTGTCGTTTCATTCCTGGCATCCTTATTGTACAGAGTGTTCAAGCAGTGGATATGACCTCCGTTCCAAACACCCAGCTTGTTAGGCGTGTATATTTTGACGGCTTCTTGGAAATCTCGACCGTACAGTGGAAGAGCTGAGCAACGAATCTTGTTGATGCGTGACATAAGGGAAAGTCTCTTTTTTCGTTCACCTTTGGGATCATCTTCATTCTACAAAAAGGCCATTTATAGTTTTGTAAAAATTAAGAATAGACCATATTACTTACTGTTAAACCTAAATTTTTTTCGTCACTGTTCCATCGCACGTCCAGGCTATTTTGTTTAGAATAAAGTTTACCTATATAATCGTTCCCCACAGACATTCGCATTCCTTTATTATCTTCACTTTTAGCTACAGATATCGTATTGGAGTTCTAAAAAATGTAAGAGAATGAACATTAGTTTCGACAATTTATTGGTCATTTGATTATTTAAACCAATCGACGTCAACAACTTAAAAAAATTGCAAGCTAGGGATGGGCGAATCAGATCTAATTCGGATTAGGAATAATATCTAAGAAGATCTTAAACCATTATTAAACCATTATATTAAACCATTATAAACCGATAGCTCTTTAGCGACATTTAACCGACACCCCGTATTTTTTATTTATAATTGATATAATTTTTTTGACACACACACACAACACACACACACACACACACACACACACACACACACACACACACACACACACACACACACACACACACACACACACACACACACACACACACACACACACACACACACACACACACACACACACACACACACACACACACACACACACACACACACACACACACACACACCACACACACACACACACACACACACACACCACACACACACACCACACACACACACACACACACACACACACACCACACACACACACACACACACACACACACACACACACACACACACACACTTTTGAGGGCAACATTCATACACAAGTCAACATTGAGTAATTAATGATAGGGATAGTCAGAAATTGCAAATGTTTGAATGGTCAACTGTTCCTTATATTGTATGAAATCCATCCGGTTTTCGTGGTTGGTAGAAACCCAACTTGTTTGGAGTCATATATTAACACTAGTGCACAGTTTGTACAAATAATTAAATAGGGTCTGTAGTTGTCCGGGTCAATACTATAGAGTAGGGTTGTCAGCACATTGTTATAGTGGGAGAATATAGCATGTCAGCCCAAGGATAGATTAAAAAGTGTTTCAACATTAAAAGTGACAGAATCTAAGAAAGTACTTCAACAAAGCATGCATTTATATTATTGTCAAAGTAGTTTTCTTGAAAAATGACGAAACATAATTTTTGGTACGTATTTTGTGAGCACATCGGAAAAAGGAAACTCAACATGAAATTTAATTTAAAATGTTAATATATTACTTACGGCTGTTGTAACTGTTGTGAAAGTTGACGCTGTCGTGACGGACGTTAACTGAAATTTGACATAAGCTTTCGTTACAGCGTGACCTGCATTACCAATCGTAGAAACGGGCTGCTTCGATAAGAAGGTCAATTTTTGTCCACCTGGAAATAAAAACCGCTGATTATACTTTTATTATGTTAGTACTATATGACAAAGCTGAGTTGAACCGCGAATTTAAATTATGTTTGAAGTTAATGTGAGACAACACTGTAATTAACAACAATATTTCTAGGGTAGCTCTAAGAAACGGAGAACATGAAATCACCGATAGACTGACCTTTGCGAATCAACTCAGCATGCTTGATAAACATGTTTGTGATTTTTTTACAGTACGAATACAAGGAAGGTATTCGACTGCCTAAAGAAGCACAGTTTGTTCTTCTTTCTATTATTAGAATGTATTAACTTAACTTACGTTAATATATTTGAAATATGTATAGAAAGGATTAAAAAAATTAAAAAGCATCGTAAATATTTTAATCCAATAATTACCTGGTGTTGTAGTCGTCACTGGGCTCGTAGTAATGTTTGGATTCGACGTTAGCAACAAGTGTTTACCAGTGGAAGTTTGAACTAGCTGTGCAAAACTAGCAGATATTTTATCTTGCGGTTTTAATACAGAGGTCACACTAACAGGCGCTCCGATTTGACCTGTAGCTCCTTGTGATATGTTCACTACTGGAATTGCTGAAAGTTAATTCGGAATGAAATATTATACTATACTACATTTACTAGTTTACAATTATTAATAACGGACTCAAAATTTCTAGAGCGGTAGGCAGGAGTGTATTTTGTCTGCTGTGGCGTACAACTTCTGTGTGGAGAATGATTTGCAGAGGCAGTTAAAGGCTACGTTTTGTTGACTATACAAAGGCCTTTGATAATGTTAGATGGGGCAAACTATGGACCATACTGACGACGATGGGTGTACCCAAACACTTGACTCACCTTATTAGCAAACTGTATCAAAATAACCCGGCAACATAACAAGCATTCACATATAACCAAAATTAACAGAGGGTTGATGTAAACTGTTGTAAAACAAAATTGACTGAAAACTGGCATAAAACTAGCATAATGTCATAGCAGACGAAGAAAAATTCTGGAAACTGGATACGATAATAGAAGAAACAATACAACCAGTTATAGTTTCTTTGGGTAATGACGAATGTAGTGATGATGATAATGCTATGCAATTCAAATCGAGTGATATATTTAGGTATGTGCTTATTGACAATTTTCTATTTCTCTATAGTAAAGTAAATTACGTGAAATTGCCACATAATTCTGGTTAGAAAATAACGATTTGAAAATATTTAATAAAAATTACTACTTACATTTAAGAATGCTCTGTGGAACAAATTGTACTCCAGATACTTTCATTTTCATGTTTGGCTGGCTGATCCCTTTAACTTGCAACGGAGGCGGCTGACTTAAAGCTTGTCCTTCTCTCTTCTCGCTCTTTTCGTCGGTTGAAGGTTTGTTTGGTAGAACTCGCATGGCTAACTTACACGGTGGACAAGGTGGTGGATTTTTGCAAGAATTCGTTTCCATTTCAAAAATTTTCTTGGAATTTCTTGATTGTCTCATCCGGTAACATTGGTACGAGCCAAAGTGGATTTCTTGCATGATTAGTACAAGGTTTAAAGCTTGTAGGTTCACGTGCTGAAAATTTTTATCTGATTTATATATTTTTATCAGATATTAAGACATTTTTTTAATGAAGTGTAGCTAAAATTGAATATAAAGTATAGTTATATAGTTGGAAATATTTTTTAGTTAGACCAACAATAAAATTTGTCACACAATTTGTTGAAAATTGATTTATAACAAAATTCAAACAGCTCTTTATTTTTTACCAAACGAAGCTGCTCTTGCTACTGAATGCATACAGAAAACATTCATTGATTGCGAAACAGAAGGAACATAAAGAAATCAATTCCAAAAATTATACAAGTGTCTTGATGATCTTGATCAAAAGATGACCATTTTTCATTATGATTACATTAACTTTCTGACACATTGCAAACATGTTTGGTTGTACAAGTATGACATATTTATGTCATAATGATCCTTTTTTTTTAAATAAAGTCAGTATTAACTTAAAAAAGATGAAGATGTTATGGGAAAAACCAATACGAAATTATCTTAACTTAAGGTCGAACATACGATCATACTCATGCCTCCAAGCCTGAGACCCAGGAAACAAGGGTACACTTTTCCGAAGGTTTTTGGTACGCTGCATACGAATCAGAGCTTCAAATTGTCGAATTGGTTCCGGTTTCTACATAGACATATTTAAAAGATAGATTGAGCGTTGCAATACCAGCCCGTTACCCCAGTGAGACAGAAAACTGACGCCAAGCAGTCCCTGTACGGCTTTTTATTTTACCGTATTTATCTCCTGGGTGGAGAAGATTCGAAACTCCACAATACTCGAACGTCTCAGCAAGACTACTGAACTGACATAAAAAGCGTCAAACAGAGAAAGCTGGAGTGTTTCGTACATGTAATGAGAGGTCCCAAATATATGTTGCTACAAAATATCAGGCAAACGCAGTCCAGGACGAAGAAGAACCTCATGGTTGAAGAACTTGTAAGATTGGTGTAGTGTTGATACAAGCATGCTATTTAGGGTGGCAGTGAATAAAATATATACACAATATAAATTTAATTGATATGAGGTTGAATGCTTGCATAAATGAACTTTGAAAATTAATGTAAATATACATCAGAGACATGGACACTGTCGAAAAGCGATGAGAACCCATTAGATACATTTGAACGAAAAATCCTTACGACACATATATAACGGAGTAAAGGAAAATGACATTGGGGCAAAAGATAACTTTGAACTCTACACAGCATACAATGAACCTGAGATCATAAAATCAATAAAGATCAGACGTCTGCGCTGGATAGGTCATGTTGAACGGATGTTGGAGACTGAAACGCCAAAACATATAATGAGGCAAACACCAGTAGGGAGAAGGTCAAAGGGAAGACCCAAACTTAGATACATGGAACAAGATCTGAAAACACTTAAGATTACCAACTGGAAAAACAAAGCAAACAACAGAACAGAATGGCGGAAAATCCTAGAACAAGCCAGAACCCAGAAAGGGTTGTCGAGCTACTGATGATAATAATGAGTGAATAAAATTAAGATAGCCATGATAGTAACCAACGTTCTGAAAGGACATGGTACATTAACCCTTAGTCTCCCACGATGTTCAGATATTTTTTGACAGTTACTTCCCGACGGTACTTTTAAGTCCGCCTTATTTTATTGGTCATAAATTTTTACAATAAGCTAAAAACGTTGTTTATTGCGGATGAATCTTTCGACTACCTACAAAACTCATTGTGTATTTAAAATGAAATCGTGGGAACATAATTTGAGGTTTTAAACATCAGTTGATAACTACGGTTGTGAGTGAAATTTTATGTGGTAAGTATTATTAAATTTATTTAAACATATCATGAAATTAGAATCTGACTATTATTCACAATCAATGTTTGTAGTTTTTAGAACAAATAAACACTAAAAATTTTACAGAAATCGGATTGTTCTTATTTATATAACAACTGTATTTTGGACCGATCCTTAGAAGTACCGTCGGGAAAACTAACAACGATCGTATTTTATTTACAGTTGTCGCAGTCATGGCAAAGAATAAATGGACTTCAAAAAATAAATTTACCAATAACGAACTACTAGAGATTTTGGAAGACGGTGAGTTTGATGCTTTTGATTTAATTCCATTAGATAATGATCAAAACACTGACATTGAGGATTTTGAAGAAGACGAAGAAGGTATAATAGTTATTTTTTTTATGAAAATATTTTTTTTACTTACCGACTTTATTTGTAGGTTCTCAAGCAGAAATAATAGAAACGAATCGTATAGTACGAGATATACTTCAGACTGAGGAAAACATACAAGGTGAAGAGGAAACAGATGAAGAACAAATAATAGAAACTGAATTAGAAGTGACAAAAAATGAAAGCGAAAGAAAGTGGGAACGAAAAGTAAAAGGAGATTCAGATCTTAGCGAATATAATCAACCTGAAGGAATTAATGAAAACGAATTTATAGAATGCTACACTGCTCTTAGTGTTTATTTGAAAATATTAGGTCCTGCTGTAGAACATATTGTTTTCCAGTCCAACTTATACGCTACTCAACGCAATAAGACATTAAATCTAACGGCTGACGAATTTCTGTGTTTTGTTGGAATACATTTTTTGATGGGGTATCATCAGCTGCCCAGTCTTCAATCTTATTGGAGCACCAGTAAAGATCTCAGTGTTCCTCTAGTTAGTGAGTCTATGTCCAGAAACAGATTTCAGGAGATTATATCAAACTTGCATTTGAATGATAACAGTTTACTATCCAAGGAGAACAAGGATAAACTTTATAAAGTACGGCCTTTGATGGAAATTTTAAACAGTCAGTTTGGATTATTGTACTATGGAAGTCGGGAACTATCTGTTGATGAGTCTATTGTCAAATTCAAAGGCAGAAGCAGCCTCAAACAATATAACCAATGAAGCCAGTAAAACGGGGATATAAACTCTGGTGCCTCTGATCAGTACGGATTTATAAAAAAGTTAGACATTTATCAGGGGAAAAATGAAGTCGTTGCAGCAAAATATAATAAGTGCACTTTAGGCGAAAGAGTTGTATTGTCTTTAACAGAAGAGGAACGCCACAAGAAAAAAATTGTTTATTTTGATAATTATTACACTACACTAAACTTACTGGAAGTTTTGCAAGGTCAGGAAATTTTTGCTTGTGGTACAATAAGAAACACAAGGAGAGGTTTACCAAAAACAATGAAGGTAGACAAAATGTTAAAACGAGGAGATGCTGATATTATGGTCTCTAACACTGATATTACATTCTATAAATGGAAAGATAATCGTGTAGTATGCCTTGCCTCAAACTTCCACGGTACCAATGAAGTTACGATTCAAAGAAAGGACAAAACTGGTAAAAAGTGTAATATAACAGCCCCATCTGCAATAGAAGATTATAATAAGTATATGGGCGGGGTTGATCATGCAGATCGGCTCAGATTCTGCTACACTATAGATAGACGCTCAAATAAATGGTGGCATCGTTTATTTTGGGGCCTGATTGAAATTGCATTTGTCAATAGCTATGTAGTGTCAAAACACTTTTTAGACATGGAAGAGTCTACCAATGATTTAATAACATTTCGACGAGATGTGGCCATGGGACTTATCAGATCTTCTCCATTACGTAAAATGCAAAAGAGAATGTCTGATTCCCAGATTGCAATGAAAAGAAGAAGATACGGATACAGTGTACCAGATAGTATAAGGCTTGAAAATCTTGGTCGTCACTGGGTACAATATGGTGACCGTCGTGCAAGGTGTGAACTATGCAGTTCTAAAGGAATACAATCAAAACCATATTCATTTTGTTCTGCATGCAAAGTTTATTTATGTAGTAATGAGAAAAAGAATTGTTTTGTGGAATACCATAACGTTAGTTTGTAATTTAATTTAGTTTGTAATTTAGTCGTTGAATAAACCGACGGTACTTATAAGTACCAGTTAAAAATAAAGTATTTGTGTTATTTATTTTGCAATAATTATTTTTTTATAGAGTATATATACGTGTATTAAAACATATATTTAACAGAGAATTCTAAAATTCGATCTCTTTCAATGCTTGGGATTTTAGGGTACCAGAATTTGGTGGTACTTAAAAGTACCGTGGGGAGACTAAGGGTTAAGAAGTATTTATTAACCATGTGACCTAAATGACCAATGAGAGTGTCAGATGGTTGATAAACCCGGCCCAGTTGAAAGAGATGCCGTGACTGCTTTGCGTCAGTTTTCTTTGTCGTATTGCAACGATCCGTCTATGTGTATATTATATGTCTAAGATATCCTAACCCCAGACTGCAAAAATTGCGGTTTTAGTCATTTTTGAGATTATGAAGACCCGTTAATTCTTTCTATCCTAATACGCATCTTAAAGTATGTCTTTCTGTTTTAAATGAGTAAATATTAATGGTTTAGGATTATTTTTTTTTTAATTTATCTCGCTTTAATGCAAACTATCGTTTGAGTGTCTTACATTTTTGATCAAAAGGAAGGTCATTTCTCTTAAGAGACCAGCATTAATCTTTCATCATTCTAACATCCCAAAGACAATCCTAGAAAACAGAAAGTGTAATTTCAAGCTCATCAAGCAGCCTATTTTTTGAAAATTTTGAAATACAAGAGTTTTGTAACATTCTAAATATTTCTCTTTCGTGGAATCACTAATAGGTCTACGGATAAATTCTGTCTAAAACGATCTACATATATTGCCGAACACATGCCTATTTTGTGTAAAGTTCATAAACGAGATGAATAAAAATATTAATAAAAATATTGATTTTTGTTTATTTTACAAATTGTTGAAACAACATATTTAATAACTTTCAAAATGTAAAACCTACGTAAAATATCATAAGTGAATTAAAAATATGCTTCAAATTAAAAAAAAAAACAAAAATGGAATTACATTAAATAGGTTCAAACTTTTTTTTGTATGCTCCTATAAATTGAAATTAAATTTATATTAATTAATGTATAAACTTCGATCACTTCCAACCTACTCTCTGGAAAATAATTTTATTATGCAGATGAGTAATCTTAAGGTGATAATAAAAAATGTTGGATCATGCAGAAGGCAAATCATTTGGCTGTATTATACAACTTGTTTTACATAAGATGTTTCTTTGATTACCAAACATGTTGAGCCAGATTTAAATCTGCTAAAATTGAGCTCAATTTAAGGTCAAAACAGCAGGAATATTAAAATAAAACAAATTTAATACTTATGCACAGTTGCACCAACTGTAAACAAGTAACTGTAAAAAACCAACAAGTAAATCAACTGATTTGCTAACCGTCAATTGGACGATTTAAATCAACGATCAATGGATATTTTTCAAACCAGTTGCCACATTCTAAAAAACTATTGGTTTACAAACCGACAATTTATATGTGGCAACATTGCACAGCTACAGATTATTTCGATTATTTCATTCGAATCGGAGTGTGATCTGTCAAAAAGATTGTCAACAAAGAAAGTTTTGTAAGGTTATGCCATCGAGCAAAAAGACAAAAGAGGGAATCTAATCCTTATGAAAAGGAGACCAAAAAAGTGGCCTCTGATGGCGGACATATCCGGAAATGCGAATGCGCCAAATTTAAAAGTTCCGACACTTATTAACAGTAGCTATATAATATTTTTCAGAATGTGTCTTAGACGAGAAAGTTTTAATTAATTATTAAAGATAATAGTCTAAAATTCGACACAATTGTTAAAAAACTTCAATATAAATAAGATTTCATGTGACATTTGGGACAAACAATAACATAACCCAATTAAATTTGATGTCAAACAACGAGACTCTCTTTCCTTGTTTAATGTGGCCTCAAAGATCGCACTTCCTGTCTAACAATATTTTTGCCCCCACTACCTTTACATTCCCTCTTTTGTCTTTTTGCTCGATGGGTTATGCCAATCCAATTGAACATTGAACTATTATAATAACATTGTTTTTTTTTGCAATTTTGTGTGTGTAGTGTGTATTTAAGATGAAAAATAAAGGAAGCCACTTCTCTATTCATTTTATTTCTTATTTTACACCGGATTATTCCTTCCTGTCCTATAACTTAAATGTTCATCAAAACGTTCTAAAAGGACCAACACTGTTTTCTTGCTTACTCGATATCTAAAAATAATTAAAATGCATTTCTAGTCATTCAGATAAATAATGATATATGTACCTTGCTTTAAATTCAACTCCATTATATTAATTATACAAATCATTGCGATCTCTTACATATCTTATATTTGGTAACATATGCATTATATCTTCCAAATTGTCAGAAGATGAACTCGACGACGAAGATGATGATAAATCCATTTTTTTTAATTACAATCTATAATACTTTAAATAAAAAATCTTTGCTAAAAATACTTTAATAATATAAACACAATGACGTATAATATATTATACGTCCACGGTATAGACAACAACTCATTGTATAAACAGTGTAAAAGTGAGGTTAAAATAAAAACAGTCGATTTTTTAAATAACCGTAGAAAATCGGTTGGTTACTTTTGACAGATCAAAAACAGTCGGTTCCAATCAAGTAATGGTTAGTGCAACATATTCCAAAATAAACGGGCAATCCAAATAAAAAAAATCAATCCTTTATTTGTTGGTGCAACTGGACATTAGAGTGATTTTATTTTGGTGTCAATAACGGTTTTAATATGCTTTTATTTTAAGATATTTTAACAGTTTCGGAGAGAAAAATAATATTAAGATGCTACCTAACCCCAAAACGGCTAAAATCCCCTATTTACATCTTAGGTTAGGATATCTCAGAAACCAGAGCAAATTCGGTTCAGATTCGGATTCAAAAGTATGTATATTCTGATCTCTCTGTCCGAATATTGGTCAAATTTTGTCAACCTGTGTAATCTTAGTAAATTAATGTTGCAAGGTTCTAGATAGTTTTCAATAAGGTAAATTGAAAACATGCTGGCCACTGCGTTTTTATAGCATAGATGCAAAAGTTAGACAGCTTTAGAACTGTTAACTGATCGTCCATGCATTTAAAACTAAGATATTTTTTTTTTATTTCCTTATAAATAAGGTAATTTTTTCACGACAAAAAAGAAGGCATAACTGTTTGATATTAGAAACAATGAGCAATGAGAAAAGAATACACAATATGTATATAAAAGGGATCATTGCGCAATGATGAAATCTCTTCAAATAGTTTGATTTGCAAAAGTTGTAATTTGTCCATATATGCTAACTTTTATCTATTACCAGATCATATTTTTTTGACGGAAAGCAAAAAAAGAGTCCAATGAATCTGGAGATATGAATTAATATTTTGAAGATCTTCCCGAATTGTACTTCAGGGGCAGAATTTAGTATTGGAGAACCATTGAAATGGTACTGAATAAATTTAAAAACGAAATTTTTTTCACAACTAACTATAGTAACTGAGTTTTTGTTGTACATTTGAATGGTTTTCCATTGGAAAACCATTGGAAAATGTTGCAGATATGTATCAATTAGATTTTATTGTTTAAGACGCAAACAAAATGACTTCGTTTTGCAGCAAAGAAATGCCAGATTCACATTTGAACAACTACACATAGATCCACCTGAAGTTTACTGCCCCATCCATCGACGGGAACTTGCTGATAGGTAGTGTCAAAACATTCAAGATTCAGGAACACTTACACACATCTTATTATCACAACACTTGCTCAATTTTCAATACTTTGGTACTTTTCGGACAATAGTTTTGTGTAGGAAAAAAAAAACGTACAAAGTTCGTCATGTGGTTGAACACGTCAAGAACAAATTCAAAATGTCTTTTTATCCTTTTACACCTCTGTGTACTGATTAGAGCCTGGGAAATCAGGATGGACTTCTTTGTATACATTATAGACAAATGGTATAGTAATATCGAGCGTCCACGGCGCAACTGTTTTAAAACTACTGTCTGTACTCGCAACTACTTTGTTAGCGTCGGCAGTGTAAATGCATGCGGCAATGCACACGGGGCGATCCGATTGGGACTACTTTTCCACTAGTTTTAGACCGTTATTTTAGAACATTTTGTGAAATCATAAGTAAAAATAGGAAAATCCATGCGATAAATGGGATGTGTTGGCAGAGAAAATGAAAAGGAGTCAATTAAGTAGTCCAATGTACCTTTTCTTTTCTTTCTTGTTCCTATCAAAATTCACAAAATATATAAAATACAGGGTGAACATCTATTATGAAAAAGTCCGTTATTTATCATAAATATATCTTATACGTTAATGTAAACAAATCCACACAGAACATAAAACATATGGATAACATAAACTATGAAATTATTGCATATTACATTATAATGCAGTTGAGACCCAACGGAAAGATCGACGGAAGAAGAGGAATTGGTAGAAAGAAATGCTCATGGCTACGAAATCTTCGCCAATGGACTGGCTTATCAGCAGATGAATTATTACATGCCGCGCAAGATCGAGAACGATAACTTGGGCACGGTACTCAAAGAAGAAGATGAAATTATTACTATAATGTGTATTTAAATTTACCTACCTTATCAAGATCATAATCTAAAGCTGAATATACAATGGATGGAATATGAAGCCGGATGTTGTCACACTGGAAAGGAGACGTCGTTGGTCTAATTTCAAACAGATTCGGATGATTACACACTTTCCTCAGTTGCATTAGCACATTTATAACGCTTAACAGATTTCCGGTAGATAAAGTTTCCCTCGTTCTAAAAGAAAGAAGAAACGAAGAAAATTAAATTAAACAACAAACATTTTTTGTTTTAAGACTTACTTTGCTCGAGACATGTAGTCGTCATACAAATACCTCTGTCGCTTAGATAACCTACACATGACCACATGTTCGTACTTTTTTGGCATTTGTTTTTCCACTTCGCTTTTCAATCGCCTTAGAAGAAACGGCCTTAATACCTGGAAAAAAGTTTTTTGGTAAGTACAAAATCTATACTGTACACAATGTATTCTGCTTTAGTTGATTAATCAGACAAATGCCTCGATAATATCATTATGAGGTTCGAGTTGAATGGATCTCTTACCATCAAAAATGGTAAATTATCATCATAAAAAAGATACTGTAATAAATTACACGTTAGTTAGTCATTTTAGAAGGAAAAAAAAAACATCTCTAAAGCTATCCATATCCAATTATATCATGAAGTTGAGCTGTATTAATTTGAATTGCGGATGGTTTGTTATTTACCTCATTTATTTTTTAACCCAAAATAAATGAGAAAAAACCAAAATGATGGCAACAATACCTAACAAGAGAGCCAGAAAGTTTGGTCACCGATTCACTGTCGATAACTCAAGCTTTGAAATGGTGGACAAATTCATAAACTTAGTATTCCGATGACCAATGTAATATGACTATAGAATTTTCCTTTCGTTTTCACTGGAATCTTTCTCTCCTATAAAGTACCACAAATCTTCCTTCCACTTCATGCATCCAACGCTAATTCTACTGCAAGCATCTGTATGTAATTCCCAATTACTCTGTAATAGTGATCGTAAGTACTTAACGCTATTACATTTTACAATCATTTCACAATCCAAAGTTATCATAACTCCTTTTGACAGTTCCTTCAAAGTCTCCTGAAACCTGAAACACCCCACAATAGTTTGGTAATATTCCAGACTGTCCAAGTCCTTCATACACCCTTGGGACATTATATAAACTTTTTAGGTTGTATTGAAATATTCCAGACTCCCATTAAACATTACAGGACAGTCCCTAAACATCTTCGGCTCTATCAGAACTTTTCAGGGACTATACTGTATATAAGTGTCAAAATATTCTAGACTGTCATGTAGTCATTCAGATTCCCTCGAAACATTGTTGAACAGTCTAAAAACATTCCAGACTACCTTGAAGCCTGCCAGATTACTAACCAAGTCTTTCAGCAACTTTTAAAAACTTTCTCGGATAGTCTATAAGTAATTTAAGCTCATCTAAAGTCTTATACATGCCTTACATAATTTCAAAACAGTTCTTGAAATGCCTCAGAACTCATGAAACATACCTGGCTGTCCACAGAACCTCCTGAAAGATTCCATAAAAGACATAAAAAATATTTTAGAGTGTGCTTCATATATGCCTGAAACATTATCTGACAGCCTGCTAGTTCTTTTTTAAATTGTGTATTTGTATAATTATTTATTGACTTATTATAATAATTACTGTACATATAGAAATGTTGCAGAGTAGGTTTCATGTATTTCAATGTAGGTTGTTATTGATTGAAACTTACCTTGTGCAGTCTCTTGATAATACTTTCGTTGTATTCAGAATTTCCTTCAATCATTCCCGTCACCGGATTCGAAAACCATTCTTTGAACTCCCTATGGGACTGAAATACATTCGGCATTAAAAAATGCATAAGGGACCACAATTCCATGAGATTGTTCTGCAAAGGTGTACCGGTCAACAGCAGACGTCTACAACAAGTACCAGGTTTAAATAACTGATGCATTTTAATCTTTTTTCTATTCATATATTCCTAAAAGTAATAATAGAGTCGGTCCATATCGATCGTCTATATAATAAATATGTAACTATGTAATATGTATAATAAATATTTAACAGTATAATTTGAATATGTCCAACTTAAAATTTGTGAATCCTCAGTTCAATTTCTCGTATATATTTTGTATCCTTTATAAAACAACCTTCCTATCAAGATAAATGAGAAGATTAAAAAAATCGTTTCACAATGTTTGAATAGTGTCAACAAAAAATAAACAGCCAAATAGATTTAACAGCACTTTTGCTAATTTGACTAAACTATTTTACATTCAAAATCTAGTCATCAAAGTATACATTAGGAAGTGGACCTTCATCATTTGTGGTTATCAAAATACAAATAAAACAAGTGCAAACAAGTCCAGTTTCATCATGTCAACAATGATAAATCAATAAAACATTTAAAAGTAAGGCATGGTATGGACAGCTGCAAAGTTATCTGGCTTATTTTTATTATCTATTAGTGACTATTACATTACAAAGAGAAACCAGTATTTTGGTCTTTATATATTTTTTGAAAACAGTATTGTTTAAAATGTACACCAACTAACATGTGTGAACAAAAAATAAGTATATATACTGTCATTTTTACTACTTTGATTTGACTGTAAGACAACTATAAATTTAGATTTACGATCTGGTCATCAAAATATAAACTAGGAAGGGGCTCTTCAGCATTTGTGTTATCAAAAGACAAATAAAACAAGTGCAAACAAATCCAGCTGTCAACAATAATAAATCAATCAAACATATTATCAAAACAAAGGCCTGTTATGGACAAATTAACACCTAATATACTAGTTGTTTGGCTTATTTTTATTACATATTGAAGAGTATAACATTACTAAGACATACCAGTAATTTTGTTTGACATGTAGAAGAACAAGTACTTATTATTTTAAATGACATTAAAAAATAGCAATTTATTGTACATATAAATTAGTTAGCAAAAATACTTCAAAAGAAAAATATTGAGTAGGATATTAGGGAATAAAATGAAGAATATATTATTTACAATAAGGGGAAATAAGTAATTGAAAGAGTTATATAAAGAATGGCGAAAAACGGAAAAAAGATGGCCAATTGAGGAATTTAAAACGGTTAAAAACGTAAAAGTAGAAAGGAAGACACTTAGGAACAATTTGACCTCTGACATCACAGCGCGGTTTACTAGAAGGGATTGAATCTTTTTTAACGTCCAATTGTCTATTAAGGCTACATTTATTATTTATAAAAACTGTTTATAAAATGTTTCACAGTATCAAAAAAATTGTACCATTAATTGACAATTGAATGCTTGTTTAAAGCATTTTAAAAATGTCAAAAAGCGTCAATCGGTCTTCTTTTCCGTCTGATTTACAGGGACTGAGAATCACCAACTGAAATGGAAAGAATAAAGCAAAAATGACAGGAGACCAATGCTCCGTCTACAGCAAAATAATGATCAAATTAAATAAGTATGAATAACATCAAAAAATAATCGCATCATCAGCACAAAACAACAGCGTTAAGTCATTGGCATACAAGACATGTAGCACTAATTAAATGCATACACTCCTCGTAAAAATATAGTACACAATATATGATGAGGACTCACTACTCTTGCGCGATAATCTCTTTTAACAATTTTTTTATAATATAAATGTTATTGAGCACTATATGAATAAAAGAATGAATGTTGCAAGGTTCTAGATAGTTTTCAATAAGGTAAACTGAAAACATGCTGGCCACTGCGTTTTTATAGCACAGATGCAAAAGTTATGCAGTTATCATAAAACTGTTAACTGATCGTCTGTGCACCTTATACAAAAAAATGTTATGAAAAATACCAACTACATTGTCATAACTTATTTATACTATTTGTTTAAATTCAACTAACTCGACTAAAAATTCACCTTATGTCAACAATAGTTTCAAAACTGTAGACACAAAGTTATTATTATATTAAGATATTGAGACAAAGCTACAAATACTGTTAGTACGGGATCCCACTGCAAGATCACTATGTTCATAACGTAGTTAATCAAACTCACATTTTTACATACATTTAAAAATATGAGATACATTGGTAAAGTTGTTACGATATGAATTGGGAAAGAACAATTTTTGGGGTCCGGTCAGTAATTCTACGGCGAACATAGAAATAAAGATAAATCTTTGTAATTCTAATTATTGATTACTCCTGGTATTAGTCCACATGGATAGTGGTGTGGCTTATTAATTTGAACGTATCTTATTGGGTAATACTGAAATGTAATTGGTCAAATTTTTCGACAGTGCATACACTATAACCAAATCTGGCTTTGCCGTTAGCAGGTAAAAATTGTTTCTCATGTTTCAAAGGCGGCAAGCATTTAAATAAAGACAGTAACAGTGTCGTCGTGATAAATTAATTTTATTTTAAACTTATTATATAAATTATTTTATTTTTATAGCAAAATTGTAAACTCATTTTTTAGTTCTCAAATTAATAAGCACATTAGATTTCATTTGCGTTATGTATGTATATACTTTTAATCATCAATTTTAAATTTCAATAAAAGTTAAGGAATTTTTAGGGTCCAGTCCCCAATAATTCAGAAATTAAACATTATTTGTAATTGATCACTAACGGTATTGTCCATATTGCAGCTGTGGTTTATAACTTTCTACGTATCTTATCGGGCACTACTGAAGTGTAATTAGTCAAATTCTTCGGAAGTTATTACGCTCAAACTTGATCTTTATCTGGTCAAAAATGCCTTCTCAGGTTTCTCATACTAAACGATATATTCAGTATCGTCGTGTACGACAGCAAGTTCACGTATATTTTTAATATTTTTGTGCAAACAGTAGTGTTGTGTTTTAGTTAAGTTTGAGTTAAGACAGTAGAAAATAAGTTGTGAACACATTAAAGAATATCGAGATGACAATAGAGACATTGTGTATCTTGATGAAACGTGGTTTGACACCCATGATGTAGTTCAATATGGCTGGATGGATGATAGCAAAAAGTGCTGCTTGAATACTCCTTGTTCCAGAGGAAAAAGAATTATAATTCTACATGCTGGAACTAAGAGCGGGTTTGTACCTAATGCCTTGTTATTATCGGCCAAAAACATTAAACAGTGTCATCAGCTGATTATCATGAGGATATGACGGCTGAACTTTTCGAAAAATTGGCAACGGAACAGCTGTTACCGAATATTAAAACAAATTCCGTGATAGTAATGGATAATGCGTCATACCATTCTAGACTATACACCAAAATTCCAAATACTAGCTCCAAGAAGGAAGATATCATAGAATTTATGGAGAACAAATGCATGGCAACACCTAGTAAATGTACCAAAAAGGAATTGTTGCAATTAATTAAGCAACAAAATTTCAAAAAGAATATGTAATAGATAAACTCTTTGAACGCCACGGGCATACGGTTTTTCGGCTCCCTCCATATCATTGTGTTTTCAACCCAATTGAAATGATATGGGCCAATGTAAAAAAGAAATTGCGGAAAATGAATCAATCTCCCCAATTAAGTGACGTTGTTGTCCAAAATATAAGAACAGTGATCGAAGAACTTAACAAAACTGACATTTGGAAAAATTGTGTAGCGCATGTTCAAGTAAAAGAAAAAGAATATCCTACTTTACCACCAATTGAACCGGTAGTTATAAACACAAACGACGACTCAAGTTCTGGACACAGGGATAGTGATAGTGTTTAATTGTTTGAATATTTCTACAAAGACTTCCACAACTTGTCAAAAATATGTTCTGTATATCGAAGTAAATGTGATCTCTCGATTAATCTATAACCTAAGAGACAATTCGACTGTAAGACGAATTGGCCGATTTCATGTAAGTATCTTTCAAAAATAAGCTCTTTAAACCGATGAAACTTACAGATCATATTTATGATTATTTTTTACCAAAAAAAGGGATCAACTTTGTTTTGAGCTTGATAAGTTGCTTGATAACTTGCTTACGTTTGATGCTAGAAACTTTTTTAAAAATCAAAAATAAAGATTTCTCTAAACAATTTAAAAAAAAGTAAAAAAATATATTTTTTTTATTATTTCACGTTGAATTATTCGATATGGAATTTGACGAATAGGTAAGAATCTATTTTTCATTAGCTATAACTCTGCTTCTGCTGGGTATACAGACTTCATACATATACTATTGTTTTCACTTTTTTATAAACTGTATTTTTGCTACCAACATTTTTTCCATAAAATACTTACCTTTTGAGTTATTTGCGAAAAATCGTCCAAAAACGTGGTGTTTTTGATGAAAAATGAATATATTCACTCGCAAATAACTCGAAAAGTATTGATTTAGTAAAAACCTCTATAGAACAAAAGTTACCTAGAATTAGTCAGTTTATCCACTTCCGGACTTATTTTGGATGTATAACTTTTCAGCCCCCAAGAAGGTGCGGTACTCACCCCCAGGGCAAAAATACACATCGGCACAATATCACTTTTTTTCCTTGACACGTTAGCTATATGTGTATGACAAATTTCATATCAATCCCAGTGGTTCTTTAAAATTTAGAGGTTTTTACAATATTTTACCGTTAGTGAATGGACTATATTGTGTATTAACTTTTAATCATCTTTGGTGTCAAGTTCCTAAAGAAATATGAATAATTAACAATATTATTACTGTTTAACAAAATATTAGACCTTAATTTAAAAATAAAAGTTTATTATTTAATTGCTATTGCGCCGCCTATGTTTTACAAAGAGGCCGACACTTGAGTGTCGAATTTTGTTTTTATGACTTGTCCAACTGACATCGTAGAAACTATAACAGGTTGTCAGTCAAAAAGTGGCCGCCAATAGTTTTAATTCAAAATATTAATTCATTTTCGAAAAAAATTTCGTTTATTTATTTTTAACTAAAACACGCTGCTCATGACATATATGCATGCTTTTATATCAAATTAAAAGATTTTTTTCTTAAATACGATGATATAAGGTTGCCTGAGAAAAATGGTTACAAAGTAGGGTTGTTAATGATTACAAATAAGCCAGGCATCAAAGAACAAGTAAAAGGTTTTACTCTATTTACTTTATCTTTGATACCTCGCATTTTTAACAGCTGGCAATCCTAATTTGCCACCGTTTTTTCTCAAGTAACATCATAATATATAAAAAATTGCTTTAATTTGATATAAATAAAAACATGCATATACTTAATGAGAAGCGTATTTTATGTAAAAAATAAATGAACGAAATAAAATTTTTGTTCAAAAATTAATTACCGTTTTGACTGGCAACCTGTTAACAATGTATTCTTCTATTCTTTAATTTATATAAAAATGTGAGTTTGATTAACTACTATGATCTTGCAGTGAGATCTTAGATTATGTAGAAATATCTAAGGGAGTATGTCGACGACTAATTCTTCTGTAGTGATTGTGATTTAATTTTTTTTTCCAAAATTATGTAAAATCGGATATATATCTTTCGAGAATTGTCACAACAGAGGTAGAAAACGCATTCAGCTTGAAAACCACACCAAAATATATTTCCAAAATGAAATGTCAACTTTAAAGTTAGAGCCAATATAAACTTTAAGATTGCATACACTGTCTAGATATGGTTACTGTGAACATTAAGGCAAACTATGCCAAGCAAACTTGAGGCAGTTGATGGATATTTGATGGATTGAACCGTAAGAGACATCACAAAACTGTATGTGAAGCTAGCAGTCAACGTAGATAAAAATAAAAACCCTAATAAAGCAAGAAATCAACGAACGGCGCATAAACATGGATCATGACAGAAAAACAGTAAACCTGAATACTTTTGAAAGATATTGGGACCCATCTGCGACAATGGTATGTGGACAGTAAGGTTCAACCACGAGTTATGTCAATATTACAAAGAACCCTCTATAGAAAATTATTCACAAATATGAATATTGCGCTGGGCAGGTCATTTTATAAGAAGATATAACAGAACACCTAGTAGAACGCATAGTGAAAAAAAAAAGAGATGCCAAGCAAACTAAAAGATGTCCCAAAAAATATAAATAGGTATAGGAGTGGCCACGAGTGCATCTTGTCGACATTACTATTTTTATGTTCATAGTGAAAAGTATATTCAAGTAGATTCTCTCGCAAGCAAACGAAGGAAAAGCAGTTAACGAGGTTATGAATAACTATTTCATACGTAGACAATGCAGTATTATTTGTAAGAACAACAGATTTACAATAATTACTTGCAAATATGAATACTAGCTGCAACAGTTATGACTTGAAAATCAAAATTAAGAAAACCAAATGTAGTCTTTGATAAAGCCACAAGTATAAACCACACATAACAATACCCACAAGCAGGCTTAGATTTATAATAATGAAATAATGAGAAATCAGATTGATAATGCCATGATCAATCTTATTTCTTATATATATCAATCGGTTTTAAAACCGAACGTTGCGACGTTCCATGACACTCTTATCATCCCATTGGTCCTCTCTAAGATCTCTTGCGCTCATCGCCTTCGTTACTCCCTCTCTCCAAGATTTCTTGGGCCTTCCTCTCTTTCTGCGGTTTGGTGGTACCCATTGCATAATTATTTTTGGGTGTCGAGTTATTCATCCTCTGGACGTGTCCGTACCATATCAGCTGTTTTCTTTCTATGTCTGTTGTTAGAGAGCCGTCAACCCCCATTAGCTACCTCATCATTACGTATTCTCTCTCTACGTGACACTCCTACTGATCTTCTAAAAGCGTCCATTTCTACTGCCTCCAGTTTTCTTCTGTTGTTTTCGGTTATTCGCCGTTATAACTTATTACGTCGATAATGCTACTGATAAGATTGGCATTATCATATTATTACGACGCATGGGTGCAGACAGTAGCCATTTTCTGGTTGGGAGCAAATCCAGATAAAAAATTTCAAAGACAAAAAAATAAATGAATATCAAACAACACTACAGGCCAGAAAAAGAAAGAAATGGAGAGAAAAACAAAGAAAGAAATGGAGAGAAAAATGAAGAAAGAAATGGAGAAAAAAAGAAAGATGAAAAAACTTGTTTGACAACGAATGCCAGAGAGTTAAGGAAACAAGATCGATAACGATTGCAGCAGCATCAAAACGAGTAAATGTAGCTACAAAAATAAAGCGGGTCCAGAGTAAAGACAAAAAGACGATAAAAGCCAAACAAAAAAAATTACAACTTTTAAAGGTTCATCCGTTTAAAATACTTGAGAGCTAAGATATGTCATGAGAAATGTAGACGATGACAAAACAAAATGAGAAAGATAAAAATATTAACATGAGCAGGCAACGTCAAGAGACAAGATCAGCTGCCTGGAAACAGAACCCGAAAGGAAAGCGACCGCTATAAAGACCAAGGATGCGGCGAAAAGATAATATTGAAGCAGATTTATGTGTTCTAAATACTAAACAAGCAAAGAAACTAATGATGGACCGTTTTAAGTGAAGACAGACTGTTAAGTTAGCGAAGACCAACCCCGGGTTATAGCACTAGAAAGAAGAGAAACTAATGATGGATCGCAGGTAGTGGAAGAGAGAGAGAGGGAGAGAACTAGAAAAACTAGATGAACAAATCCCATACATACTAGACATACGGAAAACAATAACAAATGACAAAAAGGTAAGTCTTTCATTACATGAAGAAAATGTAATTATCCGTAACACACAAGATAAAGTTGACAACGATATCGTTTTAATCATTCCAATTTTTGATAATTTAGTGACTACAATTTTGAAATTATACTATGTATAATCAATAATTATTACGTTCTGTGGATAATTTATTAATTTCTCGTTTCACCTACAATTTTTGTTAACGTTTTCGAAACCATATGTTATTAAAGAAAATTATAAGTTTCCTATTTCTAAACTCTCATGATCTAAGTAATAAAATTCACATAGATTAGATTAGATATTGTATAGGAATTTACTACGATAAACAAAATAATTACTTACTGTTGAGTTTGAAAATTTAATAACAGCTGCCATCGTTGCGACTTGAAATTCTTGATGTTTTGGGCCTCGTCCAGAATCAGATATTTCCACTTTTTCCTCCTAAAACTCTGGTGGTCTTGAATGACTAGCTTGTACGAAGTAATGCATATGTGAAAAGCGTTAGGTTTGGTCCATCCTATCCGTTTAAATTTTCGTTCCTTCTGCGTCCCGTAATAGGTTAGTATTTTAAATGCCGGACACCACTTTTTACATTCCATTTCCCAATTCAGCATCACGGAAGTAGGGACTACTATCAGATGGGGACCCCAGTTTTCCTTCTCGCACGCCAAGTGTGATAGAAGAGCTATCGTTTGTATTGTTTTACCTAATCCCATCTCGTCGGCTAATATACCGTTAAGTTTCCTGTCGTACATAGTTACAAGCCAATCCAAGCCAATGTGTTGGTATTCTCTTAGTGTATATTTTAATAAAAATGGTATATTTGTTGATACCTGTAATAAAGACAAGAAAAATATTCTAAGAATATTTAAAAGTACGCAAAATTTACTATAAATAAAGCTAATATATATCAGACAAATGCCTCGATGGTCTTCATTGGTAGAATATGAGTTGAATGGATCTCAATTCTTCCGATTTGTGAATCATCATGTCAATTGAATATTATTCTACTGGTATACTTAAATAAAGTGAATTGGTATACAAAGACCCGCCGAATGTTAACTACATCCTTTGTATTTAACCGGCATACCCTCCAGAACTTTCAGAGTTTCATATATAATTCAATAGTTTACATTAATAAATCAAAGATACAGCATTGTAGCTAATAGAAAATTTTTCCCATTATTCTGATGCGGCAAAGTACGAGGGTTGATCCCTACGGTCTAACCCTGACCTAGTAGCAAAGAATATAGAAGGATCTTTCACTGTCATTTTTTAGTCTCGGAAGAAGTTATACACATGTTATGTCTACACTACACTATCGGCGATGATGGCTGATCGTGTGATCGTCTATGATCGGCACAATCGTCCACACAATCGACCGTAACAGAATGTTGAATGACAAGCATCAAGCGATTCGCTATTCGCTTTGATGTGTCTCCAAAAAATCGACAATTCACGAGTTGTAGGCGATCATAGACAATGATGGGCAAGTATAGCCAAGTATGCCCTCTACACAGTCGTGCTCACGCTTACTTGCCTGTAATCGCCAATTAAGAAGAGGGACATAATACAAGTTGAACAAGATTTAGATTTTAGTTCCTTATTGTACCACTAGATACAATGCGGGAAGAGTGAGCGGCCACGTTAGCGCTGCTATTGCTTCTAAAATATGAAAGAGTTGGGCAACAAATGCAACATTTTATATATTTTCTTATGTAGATGCCGCGTGGTCGTAGAATGTTTAGCATTAAATTTTTGCATTTTATAAAATTAGAGATCAAATCATGCATCATATTTTTTTTTGAAGATAATAAAATATCATTTTAACTTTTACTGAATATTTTTAGAAAAAATATCGTGATTAAAATTTTTAATTGAAATACGTACAAATCTACAAATAATATAATTAATATTCTCGTCTGCTAAAATAAAATAAAATTAAGTAATTAATAAAAGTGAATCATTGGAAGAGAAAGCCCAAAAAATTCTAAGGTGTTTCGATCGAAAACCATTTCCTTGTCTCGTTAATAGTAGTAGGTACGCTAGAATTGATTTTAAGCACATACACCTTATTTTTTTACAATTTGAAAATTCTAAATTATAAAGTATAATTTCGGACTTTTAAATTTGAAATTTCTAAAACTCCTAATCCATTTGAAATTATGAACATTAGTCTTAGCCCGATTAAATAACACTACGACCCAAAAAAAAATACATCAATGACGAACATTTGGAAATAAGTAGATGGTCTATTATTAAATAAACAATTTTTGGGAACCCTTGGATGAACTGTGATAATGTGTATACAAAAAAAAAAATGACGACTGAAGTGGTGAAGACTATGAAGGGTCTGTGGGATTGAGCAAACTTAAATATAGTTAATCCAAATAATATGTCCAAGACCCCCTTGCCTCACACGCATCCCGAGAAAGAGGTTGATGAAGAAAGCATCAGGACCCGTCTAAAGAGGCAAAATCAAGACCTTAGGACAGAAGACTGGTTGTTGAAAAATCGAAATATCGGGGAGAATAAGATTTAGTTGAATATAATATGTAGTAATTAAACACTAAGTTAACATTTAGCTTCATTTTTTAAACCAATCATTTACTCATCTATTCTTTCATTCATTATGAATAAAAAAAATCAGTTATGAAGATATATTTTAATAAATGTAATAAATTTGTACATAAAATTTATTTTAATTTTAATGAAATGTCATCAGTTTATGTTCAATTAAGTATAGATAAGTTAAAGACTATATTGTAATAATTGCACCAATATTTATTCATTGTGAAAATTATACTTTACTAGTAGATGTTATTTTAAAAGAAGGTTAAGAGATTAACGTTCCACACAGAGTATTCAATAAATAGTACATTGTTTACCGGGAAGGAAAAGCTTAACATTCCTGGACGACTGTGAAGATTGCTAAGTCGAGGCGCAAGCCGAGACTTAGCAACACAGAGTCCAGGAATGTGGCTTTTCCTACGAGGTAAACATACTATTTTTCCGCAAAATTTTGATAATGTCTCTAACACAAAACTTTAGGTTGAATGACGATAATAATGTCACATAATATTTAGAATGTATTTTTTAATGTACTTAATCGTAACTTTAAAATCAGCAATATTGCCTGGTCTATTAAAATATACTTTAGAAATAATCAGGTATTTTCGTATCTGTTCTGATAAACATTAATGAAGTTAATAAAATATTAGTGGACTTTTCGGAACGGAACTTTTCCTTGTGGAAACCTGGTGAGTATTTGCCCTCGGCGATTGCAAGGTGTCTTTAATACTTGTTTGGATCGGTGACTGTGAGAGTCCGAAGGACATACCTCCTGCTGAGGGATAGGATTATGTCCTTAATGAGTGTTATGTTTGTCAGTATGTATATGTGTGCTGATGGATAATGCGTCACCCTAATGCAGGATCTAAGGATTTTTCTTTCAGTAGCCGCGATGGCATTGATTTCATGAGGTTTGAGGGAGGCGTAGATGCAACAACGTGTAGGTAAATTCACTTCAGACATTTATTTCTAAATAGAAATAATTCCTCCGTATTTATTGCAGGTTCTATTAAAATATCGTTAGATTTGAAAACTCCTCTGGAAATTGCTCCAAATCTCATTCTTTAATAAATCTTAGTCCTCGTTTCTGTAATATTTTATCAGTAAATTTTTTTCACCATAAAAATTGCTCCAGAATGCACCAAAGATTCACTCTTTGAAAAATAAATTGTTTTTAGGTCACATAGATATAAATATTGTGACAATACTCAAGTATAGTATACTGGATTCAGCCTTTTTGCTAGGATTTCAGCGATACTAAAATGTAGTTAGTTTTAATACCAATTCCAATGTTTGTATCATCTGACAGAAAATTATTTGGACATTCCAAGTTTGATCTGGTTGTTTTAAAAATTAAACAGTTAGTTTTCGGTGAAACAAAATAATTTTACAAGTTTTAGAAGACACCATTTTAAAGTTTTTATAATTTTATCTTAAATACTTATCTTTTTAATGGTAAGTTAAAAAAACTATAAAAAATTGCATTTTTGCAATTAACTTAATAAGTAAATAAAAGTAACGTAGATTTTCTTACTACAGGTAAGTATATATTCACTAAGAAGCTTACTATAATAGACACTTCAATTATTCGAAGTCCCAAACATGTTCTTTTTTACTCATTCTCCTGAACTATGTATTGTAATAATAAATAAAAAATAAAAAATTGAAGATTTGATTAGTAGTAGAAAAAACTATAAATATGAAAGAAAAACTAAAAAGCAAAGCTAGTAAAGATATTGAAAAAATTAAAAACACAAATAGTACTTACATTAGTAGAAGACAGAGTGTTTCCCTTTGGTTGGATACTTTCAGCTATAGCAGCTGCGTCATTGATAAGGTCGTCTTTTGTGTCTTGTTCAGTCTTAGTTTCTCCCTCTTTTTGAGAATCTTCTACTAATATTTTCAACTCGTCGTGTTCTTCTTTATCCACCGGTTCAGTAACTTTCACAGATTCATCTTCGCTTTCGTCTTCCGTATCTTCGTCTTTGGAAGATTCAGAATCGTCAGACTGTTGTTTGTCGTCTATGAAAGATTCTTTTTTCGAATCTGTGTCGTCGTCCGAATCTTCTGATTCACTGAACGGATTGTGTCTCGATTTAAAAGGTAATTCCTCAGGAAATCGTCCTCTAGTAAATCATCCAACTCCATCTGAGATTCTTTCTGTAGTGCTTCGATTTCTTCTTTATGACCCTCATTATCTAAAGCTTCTTCTCGAGCAATCGTCTCTTCGTCATCTTCATCGCTCTGAAGTTCCGGATCGAACTCTGTATCAGACTGCGTTCGAGATACTGATCGAGATGGCGCTGAACTAGGAGGTTGTTCTGCGGTCTTATTCATCCCTTCGGCAAGCAACTGTGAATACTTTTCAGTCTGATCTACGATAAAACTAAGCTGCTGATCGAGCGCCTTTTTCCGCTTCTCCTCTAAGATTGTATTCTGTTTATATTCAACGAGTTTTTCGACGTTGTTCCAAAAGATCTTAATCTCCTTTGCACAGAACGCGGCTATTCTTCGAAGATTTTGTTCGTGAGCCTTTTCCGCTTTTTGGGCGGCGAGCGCCTTATCTTGGAAATACTTCTGTACCATTCTGGCACATTTTTTCGCAGCGGCTTTCTTCCATTTGCGTTCCTGCGCAAAATCAGCTGCCAACCAGACCATTTCTTCGATCAAAAAGTCCCAATGTGCTTTAGGCCGAGGCATGTCTTGCACTTTGGGAAGTCTCCTTTCAGACCATATTCCTTCCTTTTGTAAATCGGCTATTCGTTGGACCACGTACGCTTCTTGTTTCGCTTTTTCTACAATCATCTCTTGACTAACAGTATTCGTAAGTGATGTAGACTTCACTTTGACAGATACTGATTTCGGTGTAGAGGTGTTACTATTACTTTCAGGTGTTGTTACAGTAGAACTGGTAGTCTGGATAGCGTAACTATGAGAGATACCAGGCAGAGAGCTGACAGAGGTAGCAGTTGGTGTATTAGGCGTCGTTTGCGGTACAGTAACAGTTGCAGTTTGAAGTTCAGGATAATCCCGAGGATCAATGGCATGTTCCTTAAGATAAGCTAAATACGCTTGGGTTTTAGGTCTTTTGGCAAATTGATATAAATCTAGAATGTTATTTCCGCTCTCTAAATAATAGGCCTCTAGAAGATGTTCATTATACTTTTCTTTCACTAATTTCGAGCGAACAATGCGATGGTTCATTACATGCTGCAACTTAGAAGAGTAGCTATCTTTTTTTTCACCCGTGGAAGACAACGGCCTTTTGAGTGATCTCGAATGGGGGCCATGCTGGACATTGTTTCCAGAACTTTCACCGGATTGAAATAACTGTAAGCGTACATTAGGATTTGGTCGAGACTTGGTAAGAACATTGACTATCGACTGATTGGCCAAACTTGGCCTTAGTGGCGACGTTTGTCCACCTCTAGTTGGACTGATGCTTATCAGACGAGTGACATTGGGATTTCCAGCGGCAATCTGAAAAAAAAAAACAAGTAATACATTTCTAGAAATAACTGGTACCAATAATTCAATTTATATTAAAAATCAGACAAATGCCTCGATGGTCGTCATTGGTAGAATTTGAGTTGAATGGATCTCAATTCTTCAGAGACTTGAATCATCATGTTTAATTTTTATGAAAATATGTCCAACCAATCTAATTTTTTAGAACACCAATTTTCAGTTTGAAAGGTATATTATTGATTGGTTTTACATTACTACCAGGCACCTGTTTTTTGTTTCAATATTATTTTTGTCAGCTTACAATAAAATAATAAATATGATCAGACGACGGAGATTAAGTTATTAACACTTTCAGTGCCAGTGACGCACGCCGTGTGTCATCGGCCGATCGCGCCACAGGCCGACGACACACACTGTGCGTCAAGAGCTTACTTGATTTTTACTAAGTAGTACGTGCTTGGCTACAGTTATGGACGCTAACGGCGCAGGACCCTCTAGTGCGAAACGAAAATGTAAAGAACGGGATATAAACAAACCGATATCGAATAAAGAGCTTGAAGAATTAGCAGAATTAATTAATATGGGAAAGTTCAGATGACGATCTATTTATTCCATCAGAAGATTCTTAGTCAGGAGCGGACGTTTTCACGTAGTGCCTGCTGTTGGCAATAACCCATACGATTTTTTAAATTTGCTTGTTACTGGTGACTTGCTTATGCACATTGTAGATAAAACGAATATATGCGGTGGAATTATTTTTAAAATAATCTGCTAAAGAAAAATCCAGAAGAACAAATTGGAAAACACTTTCCTTAGCAGAGTTGAAGATTTTTCTTGGCATGTGGTTCCAAATGGGTAATGTACATGTACAACTTTTAAAAATGCAAGTCATAGCGGCGATGTTGGCTAAAACGACAGATTACACAAAATTAGATATCTTCAGGAATACTTCAATATTCGAATGGAAGAAATTAATTACCCTGAAAAATCGCTATTATTAGATGAATCCATGGTGTTATGGCGAGGAAGACTGTCGTCGTCAGTTTTTGAAAGGAAAAAAAACACGAGTACGGCATGAAATTGTATTTATTAGCTGAACCAGATGGCAAGATTTTACGTTGTAATGTTTATAGTGGTGCCCAAGGAGAAACGGGTGGTACAGGTCATACTGAAAAAGTTGTATGGGTATGGGAAATATGTCGCTGATGAATGGGTTCCAAAACACAGGATATTCATTATATATGGACAATTTTTATAACAGTGTTCCGTTAGGTCAGAAACTACTTGAGCAAAATACATATGTGACCGGTACTCTTCGGAAAGGACGGAAACAAAATGCGAAAATCGTTCTTGACGCAAAAATTAAGAAAGGGGAAATTGTTACAAAATATCTTGGGGGAGTTGCAGTCAGTAAGTAGTAAGATAAGAGAGAAGTGTTATTTCTGTCAACAGAGTTTGGAGGAAAACATGATACAGATTAAAAATAGAAGGGGAGATATGGTCCAAAAACCAAAGGCTATTGCTAAATACAATAAAAATATGGCTGACATAGACCGTCAAGACCAAATGCTGTCATATTATTCATGTTGAGATGGTACAAAAAACTTGGGACTTTCTATAATGTTTTTCAACAGCTACTGCAGAAAACATGTCATATTATGACTATCGTTTACAGGTAATAAGAATACTGCTCTCAGGAAAAGTATTACCTCCTAAACCCAAAGTTGAATACAACGCATTTGCCAAATAAGTTGGACAGGGCTCATAGATGTAGGGTATGTAGCAAGCAGCAGGTTCGGAATAGTACCCAATATTACTGTTCGTCATGCGACGAGAAACCAGGTCTGTGTTTACAGAATTGCTTCAAGGAATACCATAAGAATATATAAATCCACTCCATAAGGCATTTTCTTATATTTTGTAACTTGTTTTATTTTGCATTTTTCTGTCACAAGAGATATCGTTGCTTTTAATACATTTTCTGTCGAAATTATGTTTCTGTTTTATTCGATTAGTATTAAGTTTATGAAATACGCACGACACACGCTGTGAGCCATCGGCCCTTCATGTAAATTTTTATGCGAACGGCCGACGACACCGCTCCAAATACCTATCAGTGTATTAATGATAAGCTGGTACCAACAAAATATTAAAAAAAACATATGTTCTCAAAGATAAAGTTGATTTATGTTTCCGCCCCTGGCGAACATTACATAACTGCCGGCACTGAACGTGTTATATATTGTGAGTTTATAGTCCAACCGTAAGAGATTTGAACCCTAAAACCGAGGCGAACAAGCTGAATTTTACGAGAATGTCAACTTTGGGACCCCAAAAAAGATTCTAAGTGTCACTCCTACCCTGAGGTTCCCCTAAAATGGACCAACGTAGGAGAGGGGAACGGAAAACACCGATTTACCAAGCATCTGCACGCCGTAGAAAAAAAGGTTTTAAACATGGAATGTAGCTGAGATAATTTTGAACAAAAACGTCTATTAGCACTTTTTCTGTAAAATGAACCGTTCTCTCAGAAACAACGCTTGCAGCCACCGGAGATTTTAAATGTCAGTTACGCACTAGAAATCATTTTTTTAAATAAAATTTGTACTTATTCGATGGTAAAAATTCGATATTTTGATTAGAATGTCCTATCGACAAAAATCATATAACACAAAAACCTGCAAAAAAGTACGCGACACACCAGTAACATGTGCCTTATGTAATGGCAATCATCCAGCAACCTATAACGGATGTGCTATATATAAAGACCTAGTAAATTCGAAAAACAAAAATATAACAAGCAGCATTGTAATGCAACACACTAATGCTCACCACATACGCCAATCACATGTAACATATGCTCAAGTTGCAGCAACTAATACTTCTTCACAAGACAACAACAATAATTCAGGCATTTCATATAAACTTACAGAATTCCTCAACGAACTTAAAAATGTTTGCACAATTGATAAACCAAAACAGCATGATACTAAGCATGCTTACAACAGTGATAAATAGAACGTCGTAATGGCTAACTCACTTAGAATAGCAGAGTGGAGCGCAAATGGTCTAGCAAACCATGTGTAAGAAATTATACTATTTCTAAAATTAAACAAAATAGACATCTTACTTATATCTGAGAGTCACACAACTGAGAGGTCTTTTATAAAAATTCCACACTACTCTGTCTATTATGCAAACCATCCAGACGGAACAGCCCATGCTGGTTCAGTTGTAATAATTCGTACATCTATAAAACTCTACAAACTTGCTCCATATATCACCAACAAAATTACTATCATAAAAGTACATGCGCTCACCTTCCTATTAACAATAGCTTCTATCTACAGCCCACCACGCCATACCATCAATCTGGAGGAATACAGAGAGTTTTTTTAACAACTTGGCTCACATTTTCTAGTGGCAGGGGACTGGAATGCAAAACATACAACCTGGGGAGCAAGACTGATATCTCCAAAAGGCAGAAATCTATTAAAGATCATGCAAAATAATAACCTGAAATACCTAACAACTGGTACCCCTACATACTGGCCCACTGATAACAACAAAATTCCTGATCTGTTAGACTTTGCTATAACTAAGAGAATACCTGAAATACACAGCGACATCACCCCCAGTTTTTATCTACATTCGGATCACAGTTCCATCTTGATTACCTTAAGTACCAATATAATTTGGAAAACTACTGCACCAAGGCTATGTTCCAGTAACACGAATTGAGTTTAATTCAAAGAAGAAATCAATGAAAAAATATCTCTTGACATTCGACTCAACACAAAAACGATATTGAAGAAGCTGTAAAATATATAACGGAACAAATACAACAGACCGCTTGGAAAGCTACTCCTGTAAAGGAAAACACCATTGATGAAAGGTATAGTATACCCCTCCACATTAGAACACTAGTAGAAGAGAGAAGAAGAGCCCGTTGCAAATGGCAAAGAACAAGAAACGCGATAGATAAAACAAATCTAAGCAGGCTCACACACAGAAAGAAACTCGAAAAAGCCGGTAGTAATGAAATCACCAATTAGAAAAAATGATGGAACCTAGGCTCGATCAGATATAGAAAAATCCAACAGATTTGCAGAACATCTATCAACTGTCTTCTCCACCCCACACGCCAACGATATTAACGACGAGAAAACTAGAGACTTCCTTAATGCACCCTGTCAACTATCATTACCACTAAAATACTTCTAACGAAGTCCGTAACCAAATTAACGTGCTTAACAATCATAAAGCTCCAGGATTTGACCTTATAACTGGCGAAATCTTGAAAAAGCTCACAAGAAAAAGTGTCGTTTAATAACCATTATTTTTAATAGCCTCCTGAGACCATGCTTTTTTTACCCCGGGGGTAAAAGTGGTAAACTTTTTTGCATCTTTTTGGGGCCTCTTAATATTTTCAGCAAAATTCAGCTTGTTCGTTTAATTTTTAGGGGTAAACCCTCTGACGACTGGACTAAAATAAGATGTTTAAAAATAACACGTTATATTAAAAATATTTTTAAAATTTAAATAATATATTTAAAATTAATTAAAGTAATTTTATTATTTATTTGTATATTTTAAACAAATTCAATAAATTATTTTGTTTGTCCCTAACGCCACCTGTTAACGTATTAACAAAGCATACGTTGTTTACTTATGACAAACCTGTCAAATTCATACCAAATACTAATAATAAAATATAAATAAATATCATTTGATGGTAAATTTAATTATTATATAAACTAAATAATATGTTTAAAAATAATAATTGTATTTATATGAAATTATTTAACACGAGCAATATTATAAAAATTTAAACATCGAATAATTATAAATTCAATGTTGTTGAATTAATCGGATGACATTTATGACTTGTATTAAATTTTGAAAATCGTTACGAATCTAATCTTTTAGTGACATATATTCTTTTAATTTTTTTTCTTATTATTTATTAATGTCTATAGTTTATTAGTTGTGTTTCATGCAGTTTTTAATTT